GGTCGGGCCCGACGATGCAGAGAACATCCATCGCATGATCGACAATGCGGCGGCGGCGGCGGCAGCGGGCATGGAGCAGGGGGTGGGCGTTGGCCAGAACATGGGGCTGGATTCGTCGGGGACGGGGCTCGACACGAGTATCGATGATGTGCTGAACGCGGCGGACATGGCGGTTGGGAACCCGGAGTTTTTGGATCTGGATATGGAGGGGATGTTCTAGCTTCAGCTCAGTGATACGAGTTACGCACGATGAAGAATCTAATTCCATTACGAAAACGCCCATGACATTCCAAACTTCAACCACGAGTCCGGCTCAAGAACTCCTGAGCGTCCCATTCCGTCCCGTCCGGGCGGAAACTACCAGCTAACCACGCCACAAAGCCTATCTTCATTCCGAAACAGAAAGAGAAGAACCAAGACAGTTTCAGTCTACGGACCCGACATAGGCAACTAGGCACCCCCCTCGTTACCTTATCTCGAGGTATTGCATACTAGATTTCATCACAGCTTTCTGGAGTTTGGAATTACTATCATTCTAAACTCAGAGGGAGGCCTGCACAGAATACTCCCGTATTAGCGAATGCGGATGTGAGGAAGGATCTCGGAAGCAAACACCGTATATTGGAGCATTAAGCAATTCTATATGAGAGAAATGATTTCGCCTGTCGCCTGTCGCTATAACCCCGGATTCCTTATAGCAGAGTTGCTTATGCTGGGGGCTTCTTGTATTTCATATTCGGTAGGTCAACTTTCAACACAACGGCGTCAGCAAAAGCATGGCATTCACAAGAAAACACTACATAGCAGACCTGCGAAGGATAAGCGAAGATACACACCCTTGACCTCCTCTTTGATCATCTTGTACACCCCGTTCAGCGGCGAATGCGCGATCAGGCTTTCGAGGTCGAGGGGCGACGGCGACGGCGACGGCGCCGGCGAGCCCTGGGTTTCCTGGCGGGCGCGGAGGATCGGGGCTGCGCAGGCCATGGAGAGGAGGAAGAAAGACAGGGGGGTTTTCATTGTGATGCACGAGGAGAGAGTCTATGCGGTTCTCGGTGGTCTGCCGAGGTGGAAGACGAGAAATGAGTACGCAGAAGGTTGATTGTTCGTCTTGCGAGGCGTAGCTGTAGCTGTTTGTAGCGCTGATATATGCCGAGTACAGTACTCCGTCTTCATCATCAATCGAGCGTTGGCAGCGGTATGCGCTAAGCGATGATCGACGCGTTTACCTTATGTTTGTGTCTGGGTACGGTTGCTATCCCTTGATGCGGTTATACTATCGCTGCGGGTTGATGATCAGCTACGGGGTACGGCGGTTAGAATGTCCTCTCTTCGGTAATGGGGTCTAGCGGTGGAAATCGAGTACTACAAGTAGTATAAAAATTCAATTGTAAGATTGACTGTAGTGAACGCATATAGCTATCGGGCAGTGCATGGTGGCTCTGGTTTGTGGTTGGGAGGAACGCGAGGGATGCATTTCTTCCGTCAATCAACAATGTAGATGAGAACTTGATTTGTCCTCTGCATTCCGTAGAGGGCATTTTGGGTAGATCTCTAGTATGAATTCGGAGTAGGAGTACTCTTGATGATATTGTGACCTGTTTTGCTCCAATGACTCCATTCTGCTCCTTCTAAATATATCACCAATGCAGAGGCAGATGCAGTATGCAGTTGCAGAAATGGACTTCAGGCTGTTGGAGTGTTATGAAGGTAGATCCTCGGTGAAAGTCCGAGAATCCAGACTGTGAGGCCGTAGATTGAATTCCATATTGGTCAGAAAGAAATAGCTCCGGCTGAGACATTGTGCAAAGATTGCATGAATGATAGATGACCTGTCAATCCAGTCAATATGACAGCGGGGCAGGCTCCATTGACTGGACAGAACAATCTCTCTGATAAGCCTAGTTTCCGCACCGCACGAGACACCAGGCAGTCATACATAACGCCAGCAAAAGCAATTCTGCCGAGTTGACTTGAAAAAAAAAAAGGTATTTTGGCGATTCGAGCTAAGGTGCTTTAGTGCGAGCGCAAGCTGCAGATTTGACAAGCCCCGGTCATGCAGCCTCTTCTTTTCTATCACACCGATCGACGAAATGCACGTGAAAGGAGACCACGCCAGCCGTCGATCGAGTCAGATGCCAGAATTTTATATCTGAAGATGCAGAAGCACGGCCAAAATGCCTAAGCCGTACTTAGGCCATCTGCAGCCACCTGAGCAATCAAGCATGCATGATGCATCGGGATGTCTGCATATGGTAATCTGATCCCGACTGGCTGTGATCATCAGGAACGAGTCGACAATCTGCACGAGGTCTTGTGTTGATGAGCCTTGTCATTGGAGGATATTCGACGTGATGAATCTCGAAGGAACAAGCTGGCCTCGGCTTCAGCCTGTAAGCCGTCTAGACTAGACTTGCCGACTCCGCAGCCTACCCCAACTCCAAGTTCCAACAAGTGACAGGCTGAAGTACGGGGAGCACGGAGAACAGGAGGAAACGTGATCGGCTTCCTGTAAAGTTCGAACTTCATACGCTGTACTTCGTGCAGAACTGTGGAACTGCAGAATGTGATATGCAAGCGCGGAGACACATTCACTCATCACAGTCTTGATTGACCTTGTCTCGGTCGGACTTAGGACTAGAAACAGCATCTGCGAACAACCCCGGTAGATTCTTCGAGGCTCGTTTATCTTGAACCTTATTGAATGAGTCCACGTTGAAGACAGGGGAGCACGCTATTCAGCATGACAAGCTTAAAATGACTAGCTAGCCTTGGTCGCTAGAAACCGCATTTCCACTTTGTATTTGTAGCATTGCATTGGGCATCTGTGCAGAATCAGGAAAGTCCATACCTGAGTGCTCTAGCAAAGTGCCTCCAGAGAGCAGGCTTCTGGCCAATTGACCAATACTTCCGCGCGAAAAAATAGAAACACCATCGAGGCATCATTGACAACTGCACGGAGGTGGATCATGCCAATCGTATCGATAAAAAGTCCTATCCAGGCAACCCCCGGCATGATCAGTGGAGTTACGACTTCCGAGGCCATTGGCAAAACATACGTCCATAAGCCTGGACCAACCTTCTCCACTTCACAATCTGATGAACTGGGGCACTGAGAAGGACACATTTTCGGTCTTTCGGATTCCCGACTGGATTGGCCAATGGATGTTCATGACATAGCCATATGCCGGCCCCTGCAGAAGTGTAGAAACCGTCGGACCGAAGAACCAATGGACAGAAGAAAGGATGGACTGGTGGGGCGGAAGTGGAGGAGCGAACGTGCAGAAATGAGCAATGCAGCTTAGGTTTGTGGCCTCAGCACCTGGGATGAGCAGTTGACAACATTCACAGGGGTCATCCACTCTGGTCAAGAGGAGGTTGACTCCTCCTCTGAATCTGGAAACAATCCAGTGCTCGAGGGTAACAGGAGCATCCCAGTTACAGCCATATAGGCCAGTATCAATTCTCCTTGACCTGTCTGTCGAACATGAGCTGGAATCACCTGTAACCTCTCATTGGGTCAATCGAGATTGTAGTAAACAGAAGTCTCCCAGATTTGCCGCCAGGAAAGCGTAGACGATCTTCCAGATCCCGGTGCATGACATCAAACAGAGAGCATAATTCTGCACATCTACAGTACCGGCTGCCTGGGACCTAAAGCGACTTTCCTAGCGCTCCCACCGTTCGTTCGGCGATGACTGACGGTTTCGATCCGGATCTCTGATGACCAAAATGGTGGAATCGTCGTCCACAATCACCACCAATTCTCAGATCCCCATTGCGACTTGACTCAGGAGTCAATGAAAACTGAATGTTCAATAATATCATGCCATCATGGTGGAATGCCAGATGGGGCGGTGGAGTGACTAAAGGCAGTGTGAAACGCTCCGCTGAAGGTTAGTTCTGAGGATTTGCGACTTCTCATTTAACCTTTTGAGTCGGACTGAACTTTGAGCTTCTGATTCAACCTGAAGAATTGTATTCTGCATCTTGTGGGTACTGAATCAGCGTTAGAAGTTTCTAAGCAAAGTATAAACGGAGACGATACATGGAATCGAGAGGATCAGGAGACTTGATGGCCATGGGACAGCAGCACGTGATGATGGAGATAGACTTTCGTGCCTGGATGTCCAGTAAGGTAATAGCTATTAGCACTAGATTTACCCCTGAGTGCCTTCACTGCCTTGCCATCACAGCTCAGAGCACTTGGCCTACTTACTACTTGCGAGTTGCGACACGGAATTGTCCCTACCACGAGCTTTATCTTTGACAGATAACCGCTACCTCTGCGAGTACGGGGTACTGTCTAGACCATTTGAAGACTATGTACGGAGTATCTACTCGTAGTCTCATAACTTATACAGCAGACCTCTCTCCCAAAAAGGCAATTCACAACCCAGTTGAGATAAAGAACACCTCCCTGAACTCCATCATGAGCTCCATTGGTTATCCCAACATGGTAATGATGGACAAACAGACAATTTCGTGCCGTCCCGTGTGTTGCTCTGATTGCTCCAGGGAACTGGTTAACCAAATCCTTTAGTCTCAATGAGCAGTCTAGGGGCATTGACCCATCAGAATAGCAACTAACATCATACACTGCTCGTCTCAACTCTCAAGGAACCACGAGTCCACGTTTCCACGAGGAGGGCCACAGAAGCGGATGTGTGATTGCGGAGTGTGGACAGTGGACTGCGGCACGACGGCAGAGCCAAACTGAGGCCTTAGCCGCGGGATCGAAAATAAACCCCTGTCCACCCCCTGGCTTTAGTATCGGGGATCGGGGACTGGAGGGATGCCTCAAGCAGACAAGTGTATCCGTAGATAATCTGTCTATCGCCTTGGAGTCCGAGTCAGCCATCACATCAACAATGATCACGATGATAAAGGCGAATCTCGCAATTGATATTGTTCTGTTATCTGGTGCAAGCGGGAGTCTCGCAGGCTCGCCTGGTGGCGAACCATGGCCGCGTTCAAGTTGCCTTCGGCTGCTAGCAAGTACCCTTACTCTCTGTAGGTTAGCAGGAAGCTCCTTGTCTAGAGCTGGAGCTAGCTCTTTGGCGGACAAAGAAACAGTGGCGAACTGCCAGGGCCCAGGGGAGCTTGGCCCGCATACAACAGCGAACACGTGCGCCCTGTGATAGGCTCATCAGTCTGAGCTCGAGCTCGAATTTGGTGGAATGGAGACGGGAACACAAGATACATAGGTACCTCACATACTTAGAGGAAGATAAGGAATTTCCAAAGTGCTTCTTTAGCACTAGGCCTGGATTAGCGTAGGAGGCAAGCTGCTTTAAGGGTGAGGTGCATGCGCACGGGTAAGGCAGTTGTACATCAACCCCAGGGTAATGGTTTTTGTAATAATGAGTATCTTCATCTCTGTTCAGGCAAATTCAGAGATAACTTTCCAGCTTGATGGAGAAATGCTAGTGCGATCAACCATCGAGCAGGGAGCCTGTTGTTGAATACTAGTTTGCAGGCCCAAAAATGTTCCTAGGTTACCGGCATTACGACCTACCGTACATGGATTTCATACCCCTCAGGATGACTGTCACAACGAAGCCCTTTCGAGCATAAACAACCTCGAGAGATTAAGCTAATGGAATGATTGTACAGACAACTCCATCTCATGACCCCTTTTAGAATCGTTGAATGTGGGATGAACAATAAAATGATAAGAACAGTACTCGTACATCGGAGCATGGAAACATGACAGAGTACTACTAAGTGACCTTATTGGAGCAATATGTGAATTTTCCGTCGTCAACATTCGGCCTACGCGGTACTAGCGTGACGAGATCGTTTTTTTTGGTGCCTCAGGTGTGCTGTCCTGCGATCGCGAACGCTTCGAGGTAGTTTCCACTGGTTCATTCTTGCTGGAATCTGGAACTGCTGGAGAGTCCTTCCGCGGACGGCAGCCATGCGATAGTTCGACATGCTCGGCATCATCTTGGGTGCCGAGCGGGTTCCGGTCCATTGAAGCAGGCATCTCGTAAGTACACGGCCCACACATTTTCTCCAAAAGTGCTGGCGCATTCAGGAAGTCCAGAAATAGGTAAGACAATCCTTTACATTCGGCACTGATAGAAGTCCAGGAGCTGATGTCCTTTTCGAGAGACCGCTGAACAAATAACACCATAAATTCCACCCATTGAATCAGAGCAGCGCAGTCAGTTGTGGCAATGCGCTGACGGAATTCGACGGTGCCGCACTTATTAAAACTGGAAAAGTTCACTTTGAACGTTTTCGATTCTCCATACCCAGAGTAGTCAGCACTCTCATCGAAACGCATAGCGCTAATAACCTCCGTAATGCTAGTTGCTTTCGAAATCACATCGATCGCCTGCGAGTCGGAAAGCTCTCTGAGAAGCTGGTTATTTCGATTGGAAAGTATATCCGGATTTTCTGTAGCGACTGAGCGACTTGGAGAATGGAGTTGGTCGATTGTACCTACGCTGTCGTAAGTCAAGTATCGAGGACCTCGGTTAGAATATCGCGTCGTACCTTCAAAAAATACAACAGCCACAGCAAGTAACTTGAGCTGCTCAAGCGTAAAGCGATCAACGAAGCCATCTGAGTAACCGACGTGCACATGCAGGCCAGTAGATCGATTGGTCTTCAAAGACACAAAAGCGGGAAGGCGAGAAGAGCCGAGCACGGACTCAATGCTGCGAGCCCAGTCGGAGTCAACTTTCAGAACAGGCGAGACAATCTCGACACCAAAACACTCAGTATCTTCCTGCGAATCGGTATCAGACATTGTCGACGTCTCTTCAAGAATAGTAACATCAAGTGTAACATTCCACACGGTGTAGTTTGGCGTACTCCTCGTAGATCTTGGTAAAAACACGTTCGCACTTTGTCCGCAGCGTCTGATGGCATTGGCTATCGTCTGGAGGGCCGTTGGGGAAGTCACCCAACAGTTGAGTGATGCTTTTAAGCTGGAGTCGGTCTGTACGAAAAGTACTTTTCAAGCAGGATCTAGCTACCCGACCATCTCCATGCCATCGAAGAGATCGAACCAGTCTTGCAGCCGGTGTTCTCTGAAATGTGGGAAACTCCATTCTCGATCCTGCCAGATTGCGTCCATGTCGCCAGCCCAGATGTACGCTTGAGCTGGAGGCAGAGGTGAGAAGGGCGAAGAAGTGGTGAGGCCTTGGAGAGGGTGCGGAAGCAGGATACAGGTCAGCTCACCTTTCGGTCAGACATAGAGTGAGTCATATCATGTGATCAGAAAAATGATAAAGCAGCAATGCCTCCCAGCCTAATCCAGAAGAGGGATTGGCAAAACTCCAGAAAGATACCTACTCGTCGCCACGGGCCCAACCCACATCCTGCGGATATGGGAAGGATGTGGGTTGGGCCCGTGGCGACGAGTAGGTACCTAACCTAGGTAAATATTTGCCTAAATAAGGTAGGGTAGGGTAGCTCTCGTGCGAGGAAAAAGTCAGGTGTGTCGACTCTCCGTGCTCTCGACATTTATCCTCTTTATCCAGTCTTGGTCTGGGCTCTGGGCTCTGGATCCTGGTCGGAAGCTGCGGAATCAACGGTCGGCAACTATCAGTCACTTCAAACCCGATTATCCCAGTACAAGGTCGCAGCGCGAGACAAACGATAGATGGAGCACTACATTCCTACTTGGGAAATAGAAGAGTAGTACAGTAGTAGTTAGGACTCACTAGTTTTGTGACTTGCAAGCCATTCAGATCTAGACGACTAGCAACACCAGAGAGAGTTGTATGACCCAACACATCAGCATCCAGCGACAGCCATGCTTCCTTTGTCTGAACAAGCTCCTGACAACGACAAGCGCCTCAATTAGCATCCGCCCTCGACTGTCAAAGTCCCAGATGGCGAACGCCTTCGGACGCCGCGACACGAAGGATTTTCAAGTGTCGCGCTTTATCGTCCAATCCGAGGCACGGCGGCGAGACCAAAGTACGTACCTGTCCCACCGAAGGTGTCATTGTCTCAGTCTTTGTCTTCGTCTTGAGCATACTAGAAATGGCTGGACTCAAAATTGGACTTGGGTGCCAAGCGGCCAGCCGTAAGTACTCTGGGGCCGGGGAAGATGCCGTAGCCTGGTGGCCCGGGTGGTAGTCCTGCTATATCGGGTCTTGTGCATCAGCCCAGCACTGGATCTTGTGCTTTTACGATGTTTGGATCCAGATGCGATGGAATAACTTTTTGCTGTCGTTGATTGTTGGATACTCTATGGTCTTCCAGCATAGACCCAAAGAATGGGTTGGATCTATCTGGATCCTACAGTCAATTGACCAAGTAGGTAGCATTTATCATGAGTTGCAGCCACAAATGAGCTCATTTCGTGAGTGATAAAGCGAGTACTCGATAACTCGTATCCATAAGTGGTAAAACCTCCTATGGAGCTGACACAAACACAGAAAGCATATTATCCGATTAGCCCGTCCCTGTACCAGGTCGCTGGTATTCCAGAGGAGTGGATCGGCGATAAGGTGTCATGTGTCCTATGTCTGGCTGTCTGTGCAGTGCGCGGTAGCCATCATAGCATCTCATCTCATCTCATCTCATCTCATATTATATATTGTAAATCATCTGATATGTACGATGTATGGGGTGCCGGAGAGCCCCAGGTAGGTTTTGACGTATGCGTGAAATGAAACTATGGAAGTATGAAACGGGCATATCAGATCCGCCCTTGCGTCGTGAAATTCAAATCATCTCATATACGGGGTACATCGTAAGCTACGCGGTTCTTGGTAAGGTATGCCATGGAGTTCTGGGTTTATTCGGTTATTGGACTTGCCGTAAAGATAATATCAATGAAAATGCGGGATCATAAACTGAGTTGGATCGAATTTGTTGCTGCCTACCGTGCGTCAAGACCGCACTGGTAGAGAGGCGCGGTTTGTAGATATGCCTTGATTGAAGACTTTGTGACTTATATCGAGAAATTTTCAGCGCCTTGCGTACTCTCAAGTCAATGCATTTTGACTCTAAGGGACTGTGGTTGACTTGATGAAGGACTGCATACTCGATGCTGGGTCCATGCTTGTAATGATATTGCCTGATAGTGGGGGCGGTTAATATATAGACACTACCTTAGGTTATTATCAACGGCTGATGAACTGCTTTGAAATTACATACAATTGGCAGTATCTACGGAGTACCATGGGATCATACCAGACATCAATCATGTATCTTGCGTATCTTGATCAAGTACTCCGTAGATTCAGATACTTATCTGCACGAGAATGGTAGGCGAGATATCTGACAAAGTAGAAATCCGTACTTACTGTACGGAGTAGTGGCATCTTGAAGGATCAAGTCTGTTTCCGCGACAGTCGACAGCTCCAATTTCCAAAGATCCCGTTAGTCAACACCTTGGCTCCTTTTTTAGGACTGACTTCCCCTTTGGTTCTGCTGCATTCTGCCAATAGGCGAACGCCCATTTTTCGATTCTATTCTTCTTGTTGGTGTGAATCAGAGAGGGATAAAAGACAATGTTGAAAGCGAAAGTCCATTAAATCAGTGAGATAGAGAGGTAGGTACTCCTCACAGTGTTATATTAAATCATCCTAAATATGAGTCTGCCATCAACGTTAATCTCAGAAGTACCTACGACTACAAGACGGTGGTTGCTGCGCCGTCGATCACCAGACCCAGCTTGGACTACTCTGGATGTACTGAAAATTCCACGCAAAAGTCAAAGTCGTTCTGTCGAATGATTGATCAATCGTCTTGATTATCGATTAATTTCCATAGAATTTGACGGCAACGTGAGGGGGAGAGAGGGGCCAACTTGACTTTGCCACAGAAAGACGGGAGCATTTGTTTACTTGCTAGACTCAATGTGCTAAGGACTAAGGAAATGTCCAATTCTTGGCCGAGTTTGCCTCTGTTTGTCCATATGCAGGTCTTTGCACAGTGGAACCGCAGGATTCATCTTTTTTTTTATTATCCTTGTGTTTAGGTCTTGACATTGGTTGTTGGTACTTTGACATTTAATCTATTTCTCAAAATAATAGGCAGATTATTAATATATAGATTTTTCCGGGTCTACTCCGTAAGGACAAGGATCATGGCTATTTGGAGACTTGGAGTGTTGGACAGGGGAGAATGGACTCGGTCCGTTTGGATCGTCCTCGAGCCGTTTCTTAGGTAGTCTGTGATAATGCGGTCATCTTGGTAGATATTTTCCACTGAATGCTGGAGGATGATCAATCTCAGGTTCCCTCTGGAGATGTTCCAGCCCCCCAAGTGTTCAAACCAGTGATCATTGGGATCATTTTAGTGTTTGATTTCGTACTTAGTGACTAGATACCGTGAAGTAAATCCTCATCTCCAACCGAACGGGTGATCACTGGGACTCAGGACAGGACACTGGACTGATGTGATGGATGATCACCTACCCAATCCATCCTAGCATATCCTGGATTTTGGCTCTGGCGACATTCGTTAGCTTGCGTTTGGTCGAGGGTCAAGCTCTTCGTTTTCTGTCCTCGGAAAATGAGGACGGCCGATGGAATGGCATCAAAGGATCGGCCTAGGAACCGTGATAAGGATACAGCATACGAAGCACATGACTTGGGAAGATGGGACTACCCTACCTACCTTCAAGATTGAGGACATAGTACGGATAATAAGGGTGTTAAATGATCATTCTCCTGGAGTCCTGTTGACTGAACTCCCCATCACTCCAATACTCCATGCTCTCCCGATTCCACCCTACTTTAGTGTCATGGAGAGCATATCCACCTTTCCTAAGGAAAGAATTGGGTCCTTTCTTTCGCACGGGATTTTTGGCTGATTTTGTTTTATTGTATTTTTTTTTACTTACATATTAGTATATTGATTATCGTTCGACTACGGAAAAAGTAGTGCTAACGGACTATTTGCTAGCCTAGTTGGTTCTCAACGACTGGTTCTAGTCCCTTTTACATGGCAACTTATTAATATTCTTATTTCTCCTTTTCTTTTTCTTTTTTTTTTTCTGATATATCAATGAAAATAATTATAATAATAATAACCATATTACTATCAGTATTAATTGTTATTCTTATGATTCCACCTGCTATGACTACTATCCAGACCATATACTTATGCTGATAGCCTGATACTACTACTTCCATCTGTTCATCACATTCTCCTTTCCCTCTCTCTCCCACTTCCTTCAAAGATCATTGCTGGTCTACGATCATTCATTATTATTATTATCATCGTCATCATTATATTAACATCGTCGTCGTTATTAAACAATTGCTGCTTGTGGCAATCCCTCGCTCCAAACAAGAAACTCGAATTGACAAACAGACGGACCGTTCATTCCTCCCTGCTGTTGGTGTTTCTCAGCCCTTGCTTGGTGTTTGAGGCGGAACAGAGCCAATATACCCACCTCCCACTCCATCACGGTCTGTTCTTGAGATAATCATCCAGGACCTCAGTCATTGTCTGACTGTCGAGTGTCGATTGTCGATTGTGTCGATTGGGACCAGAAATAAATCGACATCCTCGACGCCATTGTTCAACTTTCCCTTCCTCTCCGTAATCCTTACCCCGGGATTCGAGGGTCCCAGTGGTCCTTGCAGCCCAAGGAGCATAGTTCCAGAACCTCGACAAGAGATCAACTATTGCAGCTATTAGCCACGACTACTCTTGCGAGACTACTTGCAGGTGGCGGGATCAAGGGAAGATTCTCACTTACTTCATCACCAGAAAACAAGTGTGCCCTATCTTCTTCGTCTTTTCTCTCCTTCACCCCTTCCCCTACCACCCCCAATTCTCCGGTCCCTCCTTCTCGTGCTCGCCGAATTATCTCCTGCTCTCACCCTCGTTACGCCTTGGAACGTGTGCCTGTTCCTTCCTTGCTCCCAAGATTGTACGCAGCGTGGTATATCCCTTGACGCTGCTGCAGGACATGTTGACAGCTTGTTCGATAATCATTTCCTATCATCGTTATTGACCATTAGACCATAGGTATGTCTGTGCTCTCGCTTCTTCCAAGATTGAATTAAGAAAATCCAAGAATACTTTCTCTTCCCAGCATTCCTTCCATTCCTTCTCCCCACTGCCCCTGGCAGCCAACATTCCCTAGGTTGATGTACACAACAATAAACCCTGCCAACACATCCTCATCGACCTCCCTGAGACAGTCATCCCTCGTCTCTACTGTGCAAAAGGGATTAAGCCACTGCTAACGATTGACCCTAGACGAGTAACCTGTCCGCTTGTCGGACCGCTGTGGGCGTCATCGCTACTCTACGTCCAATTTCTCTTACATTTGCACCAGCTCTAAAGAACAGTCTCCTCTGAGGATGCTCATTGACTTCTCCCTCACCTAATCGCTTTGGTCAGTGACCTTCGCGCCCAGCTAGACGCTATCAAAACCGAAAAAAGAGAACGAAAAGGTCGCTAGGGAATAGAGACATGGAACCAATGAAGCAACACATTGCGCCGTTAAAAGTCGAAAAGGGAGTCTCAAATCCTTCCGGGTCGACCACTTCAGAGTCCGGAAACTCTTCTAGCGATCGTTATTATTCCTCGCAGCACAGTCTGCAGATGTCACCACCTTTGACGCCTTACTGCGCAACCTCATCCAAAGACAACAGCATGGATCGGACGGAACCCTCCCGGGCCGTCTTCCACAACTATCTTCGTGCATTTTATCCGTTCCATCCACCGGGAGACGTTTCGCCAGCTACGATTACTCTGCCGTTGGACCAAGGAGATATCATCCTGGTACACTCAGTACACACCAATGGCTGGGCTGACGGAACGCTTCTTGACACCGGAGCCCGAGGCTGGCTACCGACCAATTACTGCGAAGCCTACGACCAACTACCCATGAGACCCCTCCTGAAGGCATTGACCGACTTCTGGGATATTATCCGTGGTGGATGCGGGTCGTCTCTTCGTGACTTTGGCAACCAGGATCTCGTAAGGGGCCTGATTGCCGGAGTACGCTTCCTTTTGGTGAGTATCCCCAGCCAAGTGACCGAAAGACTAAGCCATTGACAGAGCTCAGGAAAAATCAGAATGTCTCACCCGCGATTCGTTCCTTGTCCGAAGGCACGATGGTCTGCGAAGAAATCGGAAAGCATTGCTTTCAGATCTTACAGCCCTTGTTCGTACAACCAAGAGTTTCCAAGTGATTGCCAGCGGAAATCCCTTAGAAGACGAGGTCGAGTACTTGGTCGATGAGATGCTTCTCAAGGCGTTCCGCGTCGTGACCCGTGGTGTGCGGTTTCTCGATATCTGGAACGAGGAGGTTGGTCTGAGTAGAACAATCGCGGAGCTGGAGCAAACCAAGGATTATGCTTCCCCTCCTACACCTGCATCTGAGACATTCGCTATTTCGGAAGCGGCTCCCTCGGAGACTGAGACCGAGAGAAACGAGTCGCGGGTACTCAACCGCAGCTGCATGTCTATGAGTCGCTGTTCCGCCCGAATGGACATGTCTGAGCAGCCACGGCCCGTTTCCGTCGCCACCAAGCGGATATCCATCTCCCACCGGGTGTCTTACTCGGGACCCGCTGCAGCTGCCCGAAACCCGAATCTCGCATCGGAACGACTCAACGCCACGTACGATGCTTTCCTCGGCGTGCTGGGTTCATTCATTGGTCTCCACCTGCAGTCTCGCTCCTCAACCGAGCTAGTTGTCACCACCGAGCAGGCTGTTCGGTCCTGTCGGGGACTGCTCACTGTGGTCGAGGCCGTCTGCGAACACGATTCTCAAGGCAGCGCGCTCCTGGAGCGCGCCAAGGATACGATGTATGAGCGACTGTCCGAGCTTGTTTTCGCCGCACGGGACGCCTTCCGACCCGCCCAGTCCCCCGACGACGAGCTTGTCTTCATGCCCGATGAAGGAAAGCGACTGGTCGACGCCGCCACCGACTGCGTCCGAGCGGCGGGGAACTGTCTGGCCAAAGCTCGCCTGGTGCTTGAGCAGGTTGGAGATTTCGAACTCGAGGCACTGCCGCAAGACGTTGCGACGCCATTAGTCGGCGCTCGACCCGAGTCGCAATTGCAACAGCAGAAAGGCGACCAAACTGGAACATCCCTGCGACTCCCACCGCCTCCCCTGCAGATTCCTCAGAACACCGATCTCGACTACTCCCCTCCCACCCCAGGTCTTACCGACGACACCACTCCATCATCCTTCAACTCTCGCATGCTCAGCAGCCCTACCATTGCCGCAACCGACGCGACGTCATTACCATCCACTACAATCCTTTCCACCAGCCCGGAGAAGACCTCATTCTCGTCGTCTTATGATGCGACCGTTGGTGTCAAGATACTTGAGAACCGTATCAGCCATCCCAAGTCCGAGGTCGGTGAGTCTTTTGGCCGTGGAGTGACCAGTACTGGAAGCAGCTTCACCTACCACAGCCACCTCCGTGACTCCGAAATGAGTGGTGTGTCACAAACTTCTACTCGAGCCACGTCCCCAGACATTGGCTGCAGCTACCAGGCTCCATCGCTCAAGAGTAGTGTCAGCCACTCGACGCTGGCGGAGGAGGGAGAGGAGACAGAAGTAAATATTCTGGAGAAGACTTATGCGCACGAATTGATCTTCAAGGATGGTCAAGTCATGGGCGGCAGCCTCCGGGCGCTGATCGAGAAGCTCACCGCTCATGGATCAACGCCAGATGCGATGTTCGTCTCGACCTTTTACCTCACCTTCCGTCTATTTGCGACGCCGCTGGAGTTTGCGGAGGCCCTTGCGGATCGGTTTGACTACATTGGCGACACTCCACATGCAGCGGGACCCGTTCGTCTCCGCGTGTACAACGTGTTCAAGGGTTGGCTCGAGTCTCACTGGCGTCATGACTGTGATACCTCGGCTCTGGACTTTATCGTCAACTTTGCCAACACTACTCTGATGCAATCCCTTCCCTCCGCCGGAAAACGCCTTCTGGAACTGACGGACAAGGTTTCGACGCTCCAGGGACCCGTTGTGCCCCGTCTCGTCTCGTCCATGGGAAAGACCAACACCGCAACCGCACAATATGTGCACCCAGACACTCCTCTCCCGCCTCCCATTCTCGGCAAGAAGGAGGTGAACCTGCTGAAGCAGTGGAAGAACGGCGAGGCTGCGATTAGCATCCTGGACTTCGATCCTATGGAACTGGCCCGTCAGTTCACCATCAAGGAGTCACGCATCTTCTGCGCCATTCTTCCCGAGGAGCTGTTGGCGACGGAGTGGATGAAGAAGAGCGCTTCGCTGGCCGTCAACGTCCGTGCCATGTCGACTCTGTCCACCGATCTCGCTCATCTGGTGGCTGATTCTATCCTGCAGCTGGAGGAACCGAAGAAGCGGGCGGCCATCATCAAGCACTGGGTCAAGATTGCTAACAAGTGCCTGGAACTCAACAACTATGACACCTTGATGGCCATTATCTGCTCTCTGAACTCGTCAATGATTTCGCGTCTGAAGCGGACCTGGGAGGTGGTATCGCAGAAGACCAAGACTACCCTCGAGATCCTGCGGGGCATCGTGGATGTGTCGCGCAACTATGCTGTCCTGCGGCAGAGACTGCAGACCCATGTCCCGCCGTGTCTTCCTTTCGTCGGCACCTACCTCACAGACCTGACGTTTGTAGACCACGGAAACCAGCCGCTGCGAAGCCTGCCCACCGATGACGGTGAGATGGCAGTCATCAACTTTGACAAGCACATGAAGACCGCCAAAATCATCAGCGAGCTCCAACGGTTCCAGATTCCCTACCGTCTGACCGAAGTTCCCGAACTTCAGACCTGGATGCAGAACGAGCTGGTGCGGGTGCGCTCCAACGGCGAAAAGAGCCTGCAGACTTTCTATCGTCGCTCTCTCATTCTGGAGCCCCGCGAGATCACGCAGCGGCCGAGTTTGCAGCCGGAGTCTAGCGCCTCCTCCATCCTGGAGAACGCCAAGGACAAATTTGACCTCTTCTCTTGGACTCATCCTTCCAAGGCCAAGTCGGTCGCGACCAATGGTTGATTCTATTAGCCATATCGTTTTCATGTCGATTACGACCGTACTGACGGCCGTCGAGCTTATGTTACGACCTTACGAATTTTCATCGATTTGATTTTCTTCTCTTATGCTTTATACGACGCTATCGCTTATTTTGGTTCGCACCTTCGTTGTCGATACTTCTAATATCTCGGGCGGCACTTGTTTTCTCAAAATTCTTGCTCTTGTTTTCTTCTTGCGATCGTTCTGGACAAAGCGACCGGATTGAGTTGGAGTACCCTAGGGATATCAAAAGGTGTGCATAGCACAGGTGCTCTGGGATTAGACCCCTACTACACTGAGCCTCGCGGCTCCGGGAGGCAACAGAAAGACAGGAATAGATACCCCTTGGTTGTGGATGCTGGAACGTCGATTCGTCGCGAGGAAATGTTTTACTATTATTGATTGATTCATTGGATTGGACTGCATCATGCTGGGTTGGCAAGGAAAGGAAACTTGGTTGGAATTTGTGATACCTGGATTGGAAATGGATATGGATCGGATTCGATTGGAGGAAAGGCATTGTACTGTACTTGTATATATTCAATTGAAGGTTCTCTCTAGGTCAATCAAACTATTGATCTCATTCACTTTTTCTCTCCGATGTACTCCGTAGTGCATTAATAGCTAGCAGAGTATTCACAACCTTCCCTCTTATCCGTCTGATTGCTTCCGGTGGTCTACACAGGGGAAAAGGATGATCTCTTTTCCTGGGAACCAAAGCAACAGATCCCAAGTCACATACTGACCTGACATTGCCAGTCAAGCCGGTGAGAAAACTCAAAAGAAGAGACGCAACATTATCTTTGTAAGACTCGGCCTGATTGACATCGATATAGACCACCTCCTCGTGTCGAACCAGAGAGTAAGCAACCTGACAACACTGCATTCATCAATCTCCTCCAGGTAATTGCTGGCATTGCACGGATCCAACCCCGACCCTCAATCGTTGGAAGCCCCCGAGAATCCCTGTCCAGATTTCGGACGTGTCCATAACGAGAAGTAAGAAGGAATGTGTCAAAGAGGTACTTGCAACAGTGAATCGTGTCGTGGCTTCTGATTAAGCCGAATCGCCATTTAAAGAGACATGTCTCATTCGTCGAGGTTGGTGCGTCATCAGTCATACATTTATTGGATGATAAGGTACTTGCTGGAGAGAGAGAGCTGAAATAACTCGTGGATTGGATGCTGCTTAGCTCTTGCCACTGCTTCCCCGATCTAAGGCACTGCAGAATGGTACAGGCTAGGAGCAATTCCCTTGAACAGGATGATGTTGCGGATGAGCTTGCGCGACTTTCTTGGGGAGTTCTCGCTGACTTATGTCGCAACCACATCCTGATTTGTGCTCTTTGTTCTGCTTGTTTCAGACACATTGCTTCCTAAGGACAGGAAGTCAGATTCAGGCTGTCGGTACCGAAATCATACTCCCGAAGACATCGAGTCTCGATGACCAGCACAGTCTGACGTTTTGAGTTGTGCGCGATCTCAGAATTCGTCCATATGTGCGCTTCGACGCGAATAAATGGGCCCCGGGGACAGGGCAGAAATGGCCAAGGCAGGCCAACTCCTGACCGATGACAGCGACTCGGGAGTTGCGGAAATCATTCACCCCCCAGGGAAAGACTCACTCCCTTGGGGATCACCGAATTTGGTGTCTTGAAGACATTTCCGGAATTTCCTAATACGGAGGAAGTCAATCTTCTGCGGATCGATATAGTCAGGCCGTCGGCGAAGCGGCAACCCCCCTACCTCGATCGTGTGTTGCTCGATTGCCACTGCAGAGTGGCAGAAATTCTCCAGGCCTCTAGCATGGTCAATGTGCGAAGGATGATCACAATTATAACAGCAGGAATCCCAGGAAATCCAGGAGAATAGTCAAAGGTATGACGGCATGGTGTAGGAAAGCCTCGACCAGTGCAGAAGACGATCACTTTCTCAATACTCCTTAATTAGGGCGGGCCAAAGTTCGACCCTGAAGGTCATCAGTGCAAATTCAGTGGCCGAGGCATCTCGATTCGGAGACAGCACCAAAGTGAGTTAAACCTTAAAGCCAGAAAGTAGAAACAGCACATGCTTTCTACTCCAGAGCCCCTTGCCGTGGGTGATCATGTTATCATTAATTGAGCATGATCGATCGATTGATCCATTCCTGAGCCAAGAAGTTGCGGGTCTCTCCATCAACAGAAAAAAATAAACGCTTTCCTCCCGACGTCAGTTCTTGTTTCTGTCCTTTCATTCAGTAGTTACAACCCTTAGAATTTCCTCGAGGATCAATTGATCTGATAGGTGTTGACGATGGAAGAGAATCGTCGTCATGTCGCGGTGGTGGGCACAGGAATGGCGGGTTTGGTGACGGCCTACTTGCTACACCATGATCCACAGCAACGGTTCCGAGTGCGACTAATTGACAAGGTACTTCAATGTTCAACAGGCAAAATCATATCATCACTGACATTGAATAGAGAGATCAAGTTTCTTTGAGTGCGGAATCAATACAGATTCCCCCCTCGCAGCCAGGGGTTAGCAAATCGGTCTGGGCCGACGTGCCCATGCGCGCCTTTGCCGGCGGCTTCTATCGCAATCTCATCCGCATGTATGACTACCTGGGAGTTCGATACCATTCGCAACCGTTTGTTTTTAGCTTCTCTCGGCTGTCTTCGCGACGACAGCAGCAGCAGCAGCAGGAAGAACCGTACATGGTGCATACTTCCAACTTCCACCGGCTGGCCCCGTTACTCCCTCGCGAGGGAGACGTTTTCCAGTGGCTTATCGAAGCCGTTTTTGCACTTTTGTGCTATCTGTGGTTCACCGTGTGTTGCTTTCTTGTCACTCCGGCAGAAGATGAATCGTTCGACCACTATCTTCTCCGCATCTATCTGCCGCAGTACTACAACGCCAATTACCTCTTGCCGCTGATTTCGAGCGTCTGTACCTGCTCGCACGAGGAGCTGCTCCGGTTTCCCGCAACCGATGTGCTCGAGTACAAGAAGCTCACGCATCGTCAACCGCACTATGTTGTGACGGATGGGGTCCACGCGGTCCAGGAGTCGCTCCTGCGTGGGCTGGACGTGCGGCTTGGTGTCCAGTCGACCAAAGTCACGCCGAGGCCGGACGGAGTCGAACTCACGTATTGCAAAGCGGACAGCAAGGCTCAGGAAACCACCGAATTGTTCGATCTGGTCGTTCTGGCCGTGTCCCCGGATGTCGTGGCGCACATCTTCGAGCCCTTGACATTGAGTCTGGGCGAGGTTCCCACGACCACGGTGAAGACCGTGGCGCATACGGATTTTGCCAATTTGCCGCAGATGGGGATGGGAGTCAAGCCAGGAGTCTCGGTTTCCAGGGAACCGGGAAGCCCACAGCACATCTACCTCCGCTCCAACGGGACCATCACGGAATCGGTCCACGTGCAGCCAAACTCGATCCTTGTCACGACAAACCCGCTGACGCCGATCGATGAGACCAAAGTCATTCAATCGGCGTCATTTACGCGCGTGCTGCGAAGTCACCAGAGCCGGCGGCTGATCAATCGTGTTTTTGACGAAGGGGACAGACACGCTGGTTCTAAGGCAGTCAACTGGCGCAGTGGTGATAACGGCGTGTATCTAGCGGGAGGATGGTGCTGGGATGGGATGGTGCTCTTGGAGGGATGTATTGTATCAGCGATGCGAGTGGCAGCCGACCTGGGGGTGGAAGTCCCATGGGAAAGATGAGGTCGAAGTACGAGTCTGACGTGAGATGACCGCATGTACTTATAGTAATTCTGGGGAAGCGATGATATATATAAGCGATTAGACACAAGGAACGGGATTTAGCGCCTGCTATAATTAAATTTGGCTATTTGCCCGGGATGCCGTTTGTACCTGATTGAATGACCACGAGTACAATGACTGCTTCTATTCTCCTCCACTCATATTCATCCCCAACGCAAACTAGCCATGGACCCTATCACTTGATTTCTCGATCTTATTCAACGCCTCTGCAAACTCATCCTCAGTCCGAAACAGCGTGACGAAAACATCTACAGATATATAGAATGGAACCACCATCGCGGACGCTGCACAAGCCCTTCTAGACCAAGTCCTCATCGCAGCCGGTCTGATTGACCCATCCGGGCTACCGGACAAAAATAAAAGTTTTGTTTATTGCTAAAGAGCTAATTTTGCTCACAGCTCAAATATAGCCGTTTCGAGTCAGCATGAGGTGGGAGGAGAGGAGAAGCGCCAGCGCAGATTGTTTGGGCCAGAGGCAGCCATCACGTGCAGACAGTCATCCCCCTTGGGACTCCTGACGGCGTTGTACACGCAGCCAGCATTTACCCGACCATTATATTCTCATACTCCCTTGGTTCGATCTTACTCTTTCATTTCTTCTTCTTCTTCTTCTGCAGTATTGAAGCTAGCTTATTATCGGGCAGCTGAAGGATCTGACGAGCCGTGATCCCATACTTCAGCGTCCACCTATGTTTCGGTGATTTGTGGCTTATCTGATTGCCCGATCTGTCCCTCTGTTACCTGTACTTGCGACCTTCTTCACTCGACATTGATTGAAGACACCGACTATTTGGAAATCCCCAACTCTAATCATCCACCTTGCAATTACTTGTAGATCGTCACCTGGCCAGAATGGCCACAGCTGAGGTCCCTACGCGGACTCATGGTACGTCTTCACGAGCATTCTGCCCCTCTTGAGACAAACCCAAATTGACAGATGATAGTTCGCAGTGGACGCCGCCACCCGTTTTCTAGCTGGATGAAGAGACTTGCCAGTCTGAAGGGCTCCTCGACCGATTCCAGTACAATTCGCTGGTCCCATAAACGCCATGACTCTCACAAGAACAAGAGAAACAACACCAAGAACAACCCTTACCCCCTCTCCGGTACCATGAACGTTGTCGGTGAATACAGCAGCGATTTCATCTCTTCGGTCTCGGATACAAATGATGTGAATGGGCGACGATCGTGCTCACAGAGTGAACCTTCAATTGCCTGTTCCGGATACGACAACCAGGTGCCTGCGACAAGTGCAAAGTCGACGGCCCCGACCATTTCAACGAACGGCGACACGGCCATCTCAGAGGCAGCATACTCCAAGGCAGGAACGATGGCTACAGCAGGAGGAGGGATCAGCTCTCACGGCGGAGGCGAAGGAAGTACCTTCTCTTCGCCCGCGCCGTCGGTCCGTTCGTTGACCACCACCCTAACTACCGTGCAGTCCGCCGCGCCGTCCACACACTTCTACAACGTGCAAAGTACACATCACGGCCTAGCGCATGCGAACTCGACGCACAGCACAGCGAATCAACAAGTACAATTTTCCCAGCCATTTCCTTCATCCCCTGCGACCGCGGTGCCATCCCACCTTGCCCCTCACGGCCACTCTCATACCTACAGCACTGCGACTGCCAACAATATTCTTACTGACAACGCATCCATCCTCACTCTGGCTTCATCTTCCAAACGGCGCCGCAGGAACTCGCTGGATACGAACGCATCGATCCGCGCTCTGGCGCCGTCCTCGGTATTTGGTGGTAGTCGCGAGAGTCTGCCTCTGAGCGTGCTCAGCGCAAATGTTGGGGAGCCGTCCAACACGTCAACATTTAATCCGCCCGGAGTACTTAATCGTCCCAGCATGGTGGGTCTCGCTAGCGCGGAGCGGATTAGTGTATACTCAGCCTCCGGTGCGATCGCGAGCGGCGAGCGAGGGAGCTACCATAACAAACCGAATCCAGGCACGGGAGATGGTGCAAGTATCAAGAGTGCAGCGTATTCGCACAGTCGCAACGACAGTTATGCGGCGAGCATCTCGGGCGGGATGGGTGTCGCGATCGCCAGCGGGTCCGTCAATCAGCCCATGACGGGGAGGATCAGTCGTCGCAGCTCAGGATGGGGTGAGATAACTGGCGATGAAGGCGACCAGGAGAAAGAGGACAAGGAAGAGCGGCCAGCAGAATTGAAGGAGGAGGATCCCTTTGATGCTGTGCCTGAAGGGACGACTGAGACGACAACGACAGCGACGACAAAGAATTGATAACGCCGAACATGACGATGACTTTATACAGAGGAGAGCCTGCTGTGAGATACGCAACGAACTTACGCAAGATAACTGCATGACAGAGTGGGTTAGAATAAATCAATGTTTTCCTGCTTTTGCATTTTTTCCGTTTGCGAGGGAAGGATGGATGTCTGTCTGCTTGGGATGGGAGTCAACATAACATGGGTGTTTGGGTTGGTTACTGGTTATTTCTATCTAAGACACTATTGATATCCCGCTGGTATTGTTTAGCATAATTAAGAGGATTCACTATTTCTTGCTAGTTGACGCTTGGCAGGTTGACAGTATGTATACCTACTGGTTAAGCGTAGCAGTGGTCAATGGGTAGGGGAGGATATCGACAAGACGCTACATGACTGGGAGGATCTGAGAGGGCCATCTGGCGGCAGGTGCCTCATCCAGATGGCTCCTCTGGTCTCTCCAGGATCGTCCGATCTGCTCTATAGCAGCGAGTGACGGCTAAACCTACACACTGAGTCTCTGAGGTGAGTTTTAATCTGCCATTCTTCAATGACAAGGATTGAATGCGAATGATGCCAGGCAGGAGACCATATTGCAAAGGCGATTCTAATGTATAAGCACTAAGATTACCTCAGGATCGTCTCCTTGTCAACAGATTCCCAGTAGTCAAAAACCCCTTGTCACCCATAGCACCCCTCCACTCAATCGAAAGCTGCCCCAAGACTGCCCTGCCATCTCGTCTCAGGTCCTTTTGCAAAGCTTCCAGTCCCTCCTGCTGACCCTCTTCCTGCTCAACTAAGAATGCAACCTGGAGCACATCCCGTGGGTTCAGCGTGGGCGGCTGTGAGACAACCTTGTCGGGTCTCTCCAACTCCCAGTTCAAAGGAATGGCTTTGAACGGCGGTTTGGAATTGAGTTTCGTTTGCTGTCTTCCAGTCAGGGAATGATATGTTCAGTGAATGCCTCCCTTACAGACCTTGACAACCACGGTGCCATCTCCAACATTCTCCAACTGTGCTTCCAGAGCGAATCGCAAAAGCCGAGTTTTCCCATACGGTCCCAAGGACTTATTCTCCACCTCCACCGGAGCCAGCTCCGAGGATTTCGTCCTGACACTGAGGCAAGGCTGAGCGACAAATTGGTAGAGTTTGCGGAATGTCCTGACCCGGCCGCTTGCAGCCTGCGCGTCGGAGCCGATCAGCGTCTCTGTGTAGCTGATGCTGACGGCCAGGATGTGATTCCCCTCTTCTTTGAGGTCGAACCGGACAATCTTCTGCAAGGACTGGCCCCTGTGGAGGCCTTCCGTCTGGGCCGGATCGTCCGCTGACTCCAGGTCCAGTGAGGCTACCTGGGATGGAGTCTGCATTTCCGCGACGATGCGGACAGAAGTGACGACGCGCGAGGTCTCGTCCTCCGGGAGCTCATTGTTGGCGCTGAGCGTACAGGCGAACGTTTCCCCGACATATGCCGACCCAAAGGAGGGCGGTAGCGTTAGCTGGGTATTGTTAGCTTGTGCCTGGTGGAAGGAGTCGAGAGCTTACGTTAGGACTAAGGATGAACTTGTCATCGGTACTGTCGGATGGATAGCTCAGTGACGCTTTAGTTGAAATCTTGGTGTTTGCAGCAGGAAGGGGATATTGATTGGATAGGGAAGGCCGTGACAGCCTTACTCGGTTAGAATGATCGCCAAACGCTGCTTTGAGCTCGGCTTACCGTAATACTGAAGCCGGGTTAGCGATAGGTACCTTCAGTAGAGATCTCGATGGTGCATACCTTTTAGGGAGACCGCATGGGGTTCTTTGGAGCTATCAGCGCCCGAGTAGCCACGCGGACGTGCCATAAGTCTACCCTGAAGGAGTTATTCTTGCAGTCTATGATTCCATGAGGAATCGTCGAAATCATCAACGACAATCATCTGTTTGGCCTTAAGTCCTAAGATGTAGTCATGTGGGGTTACATAATCCTTTCCCAAAAAGGTATAGCAGTCTCTTATCTACAATGTCAAAATACAACCAGATGAGCATATTTCAGGCCTTCGAAGACTGGAGAGTGCTTTGGTTGAAATCTATCAAGTTATTATAACTCTCATGCAATAGAAACTCTCGTGTACTACTTTGAGTTCGACAGTTAGTCTCGAAAAAATAGTTGGAATGAACGCATGCATGCTGTGTCTCTGTGTTATCACTGATAACTTATCGCTGCCAGCAAACCGGACAAAGTACACAAACCCAGCAAACCTCCACATCATCCTACGCCGTTTTGTGCCATCGACTGGCTATTTGAAGTATTCTTCCCCTTACAAATGAGGTTTCAGGTACAGAAATCAAGTCATTATCAGGTTTACGTCCATCTTCGCCGATTGATTTGGATGTGATTATGTCAGCGTTCCTGGTCGCGTCTATCAACTTGCCGAACGCCACCGCAGCTCAGATCCGTCTACCAGCATCTACCGTCATTTGAGTCTCTGTATACGTGGCTCGTGCTGCTAGTCAATATGGGAACTACACGAACGACAACATCGCGTCAAAAAATCACCAGCTCCTCGCCGGCGCAACCTCGAGCCTACAGCGCGAGCACAATCGGCAAGACACGGTCAACAACCAAGAGAAAGCTGGACGCCGGTGAAGGCATCGAATCATTGACCACTCCAGTAAAAAATGCGCGCAGACGAGCGAATAACGTCTCTGCAGCCTCAGCTGGCTCCATCGTGATCGATTTGACCGCAGACTCGCCCGTCACGACTCCGACCAAGAAGACTCGAAGCCCCAAGAAGCGATGCTCTGGCGAGCCGACTCCCGAGCGACGCGCTAGGCCGTTCCGTAAGCAGGCTCCCAAGTGTATAATGGCTAGGCTGGTGCGGGCAAGAACCCAGAGGTAGGGATTGGCTGTGCTGCTTTCATGCGACTTTCACTAACCCGGCCATTGACCAGGATGTGCGTCGTGGAACATTCTGTCACCGAGGTCGATGATGCGCCCGAAGTCGTGTTTAAAATGGCGGGAACAACTGGAAATCTGTACAAGATCGTCATTGGGAAGGTGCCTTCCTGCGATTGTCCGGATGGAGACAAAGGAAATCAGTGCAAGCACATATTCTACGGTATGTCGACGGCATTTCTTTCAACATTGCGACCCTTATTCGCTCGTCACTGGCATTACATGTTTATTCTATCCTTACAGGCACTAACTACTATGGCCTATCAAGCCCTAATAAACGCTCTCAAAGCCCCGGAACATCTCCAGTATCAGCTGGCATTCTTATCCTCGGTAAGAATTCATTCAAAGGACACAATCGTTCAAGTTCACTTACATGATCCGCATATGCAGGAACTTCGTGAAATGTACCAGTCATCACCCCTCAGCCGCCAAAAAGAAGAACCGGAGGACAACAACGGCAAGCGCAAGCCCATCGAAGGAGACTGTCCCATCTGCTTCATGGAACTCGAGCCAGAGAAAGACGAGATCGTTTGGTGCCGCGCAGCATGCGGGAATAACGTCCACAAGACGTGTTTCCAGAAATGGGCGGCAACGCAGAACGCGCAGGGGGTCCGTTGCGTTTACTGGTGGGTTCTACTACCCGAGACACAGATTGTGGAGATATACTGACTCTCGTCTAGCCGTTCTGCGTGGGAGACCAGTAGTAGCGAACTGGATCTGGAACAGCTCACCAAGAACGGATACGTCAACGACGAAGGTTATGTCAATGTGGGGCATCTGCTCGGCATGCCTGGCCAACGCGGTACGAGACCATCCCTGTACTTGCTCCCTTCGTCTGGTTCTTCGTTTCTCGTGGAAAGGTTACTAATCATCAACGGTTGGTGATAGACTCTTCAACATATTATCGGCCCTGGGGGTACCCGGGATCGTCCTATTATGGGTCGCGTAGGCAGAGGCGTTCGCACTGGTAATGAGGTTTGCGTGCTACATGGCGCAAGGGCGTCGGTCACTGGATTTTGGATTGGTCTAGATTGCTATATACCCCTATCTGTATTTGTGTTGCTTGACGTATTCCAATGATACTTCGCTTGCAGTTTGTTGTGTCCGAGGGACCGATGTGTAGCTGTGTAACTCATAGATGTTCAATATATCCATCTATCGACCTTATGAGGCTCGGATCAAACCCGGAATTCTGCTCGCCTGGTCGCGGTACATCCAAGAGGCATGATAGGTAATCGTCTGTGCCTGCGCTATCGCAGAAGAGCTTGACGACTCCACATCGTCACCCAATATTCAGTGTCATGGACAGACACGAACTCTAGGGTTTTGTCCAGCTGTATTTCGCGGGCTGTCTTACTGCTCCCCGGCAGTTGCTCTCGTCGAGCGGGGGCCTGTCCACAGTCAGGCCTGATTCTCCCGCAGAATGTTTCGCTGGGCTGGCGATCAAGAGTTTCTTGAGACTGGTTCCTGCCGTCAACCATCTTTGATTATACGCTTTCCTCGATGAACAACAGCTACGCTGACTGCGTCTTCGCCCGTCATCCAGGACGGCATACGTTCCGGCTCAACAACACCCAGTTCGGCGAGCTTGCGGATACCGCTGATGACGTCCGAGCCGGCAAAGGAGAGGGATACTGTTGGCTGCGTGCGGTCCACATCATGTTCATCATCCTCGTCGTTCGCCGGATCAAGCAGGCGCACGTCAAGGCGGTCCAGAGGGGCAGACGAGAGGGTTCCAGATGTGCCAAAACGAGAATGGACGGCTAATTTGCGTTTCTTGGCGATATGGGAAGCAGGCTCCGTCCCTTTGATCGTATTGCTGTCGTCCTCGCTTTCGTTCTCCTTGCCAGGGTCTGACTCTTGGTGGAAGTGCTCTTCTGGAGAAACCGTATCCGACGGACGTGGGTCCAAGGGACTCCCTTCCAGTACCGCGTCGGCGAATATACTGAACGCCCCATTGGCCCCGTTGGATCTTCCAGGACCGCGGAGCGCCAGCAACGCTTGCAGATTCTTTGCTGTCAGAGAGGTCGCTCTCAAAGCATATCGCTCTTGTGGCCGCGATAATGCTTTAGGTAAAGCGTCTCGTACAATGCGCTGCAGACTCCGAGCATCGGTTGCGACCGCATGGTTGGTGGACGTATTCGATTTCGCGCCCGGCGATGTCGCCATGGACGTGTAGATGAATGGGCAACTGTCGGGGAAAGCGACGTACATCAGTCGCGATGAGTCCGTCAAAGCCTCAGGTGACTGGCGAGGGTATTGGTATGGAGAATTGGTTACGAAGATCCGCAGGAATGTGAGCGGAAGCGAGGATGAGCGGACGAGATGGTAATGCGCTTTCACCAGGGGAGAAATCTGCTGCTGAAGGTTGCTCAGGAAAGTGGCGGCGTGGATGCGCGGTAGACATGCGGAAGCGTCAGGTATAGTTGCTCCTGTGGATCGAGTACCATCGATGCCAATGCGACTGAGTTCAAATGCTGTCCATCGCAGACTTGCTGGATGGTCTTCCATATACCGAATGTCCACCATTGCCAGCTGGCGCAAGGTAATACCGTGTCGCCAGTCACCCTCCAGTATACGATCAATCACTTCGCGTTTGCCGCCCTTCCTATCTTGTAGATCCTGGTAAGCATTCCGGACGTCTTCGATGGTTTCGGCGGCCGGATACGGGCTGAGTTCATCGTCGTCGGGGTTCTCGGCTTCGTCTTGCTCAAGATACGGTGGAAACAATTGCGCGTTGCGATCATCGAGCCATTGAAATACCAGGTCCAGAAGAGCCTGACGGGACAGCCGCGCAAATGACTTTATCAGAGACGGGGTGGAGGAGGGGATGCGGAGAGTGTTGGGAAGACTGGCGGTTGTAGGCGCACGGATAGTCTTTGAGCGCGCCATTTCTGCGATGGAATCGATCGTCTTTATACTATAGACGAGGCATAACCCATGAGGCTGGGTTACATGACAATGGTGCAAGATTCCTTGGTGAGAGCTCGATTGCGACCACGAGAGAACAGGCCCAAGGAAGAATCAGAATAAACAAAGCAATGAGGTCACGTGGAGATAAGGGGTCTACACCTGCTCTCGATTCTCAACCATAAGGGACCGTAAGGCTACCATCAAGCGATGTGACAATATCCATTTGCCAGTTTAAATAGAATGTTGGCTTGTAGCTTGTACTCCCAGTTTATGGCAGGTTATGGAAAATTCATTGCATGCTTATCTGGGGAAGACATACTTATGTAGCTCATCGCTTTATACTTGGATTGAACCTCAGTGAAGAGCAAGGCACGGCACATTGTACTACCAGTAATGATGTAGAAGTGATACCAAACTCGTTTCGATAGTCCAGTCCCATGTTCGTCTTCATCTTCCTCTTCTTCTTTGTTCTCATCCCCTGAAGAACGAATGTCCGTCACCACCTGTCTGTCACCACCTGTCCGTCCTCGTCAAAGTCTTGCCTGTCATGACCATCGATGTCGGGGATTGAACCAGGCCTTCCTGGAGAAGTATACGTTCTCGAAGGTAAGATTGCGCAAGCGATCTGAATATCTGTTTAATATCCAGACGGACAAACCCGTTTCATATGCTACATCCTCACCCCGACTCCTAGAAAGTAGCAGTCAGTCAGAATGACGAATCCAACCTTTGCTTGATATAGGAAAGAAGGTTCCATTGAAGGCTCCGGATTAGATAGAATTGACTGGAGAGCTTTCTTGTCGAACTTCACACAACACGTTTAGAGACCAGGTCCATTCCTGCGACGCAAAGTGGATTTATTTCAGTTTGTCACAGGTAACCCCATTGAGCAGGGTTGTTACCCAGGGCAAAATACTGCACTCGAGACTGTATTCTTGGTCGAGCATGCCTTCTGAAGCGTTCAATGCTCCACAGAGGACCTAGTTAGTCATCATGTAAGCAGCAGCACGTTTAGATAGTTATTAGTAGTACCTAGTGTGAATCAGCCAACCACCAATGCACGGACGAGGCAGGCTGATTACTAATGTGCAGAATATTAACAAGGAGTTGTACTCTCCCAGCATTCATAAGGCACACTGAACACAGGCTAAATGCAGTACTCAGTAGGGATGATGCATACCCATACGGGCTACAGTGCATTGACAAGAACAAGTTTCGAGAATCATGACTGATAGAGATTACCGTCATTCGCATACTTCATTGTGAAATAATGATACCTAAATCGGATAGTGCCTGGTTTGAGGCTTATTAAAATCCGGTTGACTCCGATCTCGGTCACCGAAGAGATGATTCGGACGCGATGTAATTCTTTCCCGATATGGAAAGTCAATGAGGCACAGTGGCGAGAGAGGAATATCGATCCTATGTTTGAAATGAGGATGCTTTGTATTGTTGCTGTAGAGGGGATAAGACACCTAAATGAATAGAATACAATCAAGCATCCCAGCGTCAATAGATTGGTCATGTTCTTTTGTCAAATGGCTGTGAAACCCTCCTTTGATTTCCAATCATCGTGATCGGATCGCTTGACCATTCCCTTGACTTGCTTCTGCCGGATTAATCATCAACCCACCCCACCCTGCGCAAATTCCCATCCATCTCCCCGATGTCCCGCGTTCCACCGTGAGTATTATTCATTGTCTGGTCTCTTCGTTCTTCTCTTCCCTACTCTTTCTTCTCCGGACCCTCTTCCATTGTCAATTCGACCTTCAACGCGATTATTCGAGCACGTTTGACGAGTGCTACGACATCTTCTCGAGATCGATACGGCGGAGTCATACAGACGAGTCATTCCGCCCCTCGGTCTTTGACGCATTTGTCACTCTAAGAACGCATCATCTGAACAGAAAGCAAAGGAGGGCAGCCAACAGCTACAACCCGAATTGTCTCGAGAACTTGATAGAGGCTTAGCCTCACGCATACATCATGTCCGGTTACAACGGCCGCCGTGCGCCCAACTTCTCCCAATACATTGAGGATTTGAATGCCATTCCCTCGCCGTACGACCAGGCTTTGCAGCAGCAACAGAGACAAGATACTTTCAACCTCGATGCTGAACTCTCGTTATTTACGAATACCGAGTTCTTCGACTTCGACACTTTCGGAGATCTCAACCTGCCTGCATTTGACGCCGTGAAGGAAGACAATGCGAAGACGACGGAACAGCCCAATGGAGGACATACCACTCACACTTCTGATATGGAGTTTCTGGATCTTCTAGAGGGTGAGTGAAATCTACTTCTAGTGGTCTGATGTTATTCTTCATTTCAAGCTGGACATTTGGGGAATTGTTTCCCACACAAGTGCTTGAAGGCCTGTCCCCTATTCGTACAACATGATCAATCATGCCTTGATCGTCAACTTGTCCTCTGTCATTTTTGCTTCTTCTCCCCCTCATTCTCTCAGGCGACTCGTGATATCTTGCGCATTCCTTCGGGTCATTGGGGGCACATGGTTGCGGTTCGCAAAATGCACGGGCCATCCAATGATGGCCTGAGCATCTAAACCAACCCCTGTCTGCATGAACCTTTTTTCCCAGTCTTTGTGCGGCTATCGCAAAAAAGGTTATGTGCTTCCTGCATCAAATTTGCAATTTAGCGCTGTCGTGAATGGGGTCCAGTATGGCGCAATATCACGTGAGCTGTATAGTGGCTCACTGCCTGCGTTCATCTTGGCCAGAGTGTGGCAGGCGGCTTTGGTCAAGTCTCAATTGGTTCAGCATGTTGTTTGATCTTGCAATGTTTTCCTACACTTGTGTCGTCCAGCTTGGCTTTGGGGCGCTATATTCCCGATTGGTAATGGTTTGAGGCTAACCTCACATTCCTAGATGGGTTCGGCAACATGCCCGATTTTTCGGCAGCCAACTTGAACTCGATCAACTCTCATCAGGTTCCGATTCAAAATACACAATTCTCAAAGATCCCGTCAATTCCTTCGGGACTTTCAAGTGCACCCTTCAACGCCAACCCCACCCCGAGTCAGTCTAGTTCGATTGCAACATCGCCCGCTGGTCCAGCTACCAGCCCAGTCGCTGCTCCTGCTCCTTCCACAACAACTGCGGCGGGACCCAAGCGCAAGAACACGCAAAAGGCGGCCCCTATCAGCGTGGAGGAGGCTGCCCGCATTGCCGCGGAGGAGGACAAGCGTCGCCGGAACACGGCTGCTAGCGCGCGATTCCGGGTCAAGAAGAAGTTACGGGAGCAAGCGTTGGAAAAGACCGTCAAGGAGACCACCGAGAAGAATGCCGCTCTTGAAGCCCGCGTAACCGCGCTGGAGCTGGAGAATCAATGGCTGAAGAACCTGATCACTGAGAAGAACGGCAAGTCGGCGGAGGAGACCAAGAAATCCGAGACCGACATTGCCAACATGTTCAAGAAATTCCTCTCCTCTCAGAAGGCCGACGCTGAACGGAGTAGTTCCGAGTCCAAGATCGGTGTCGGTACCGCGTGAGCGGAGCTAAATCGGGAAAAAAAAAAAAGAAAAAGAAAAAGAAAAAGCAAACGCGACAAGGATATATATATTTTTCGTCAATCTATTACAGCTTCTCTGCTCATATTGAACCAGTGTCTTATTGAGCATTATCTGGAGGCAATGAAGAAGGCGTCTCACGGAGCAAAGGGTGGATGAGGGTGAGTCTTATGATTGACGATATGTTAATTTCTGTTTATTAGCGAGCTATATGGATGAATTCTATTTAGAACGCAATTCAATGTTACTTAATTCATCTCAATTGATATGAATAAGACATCGAGTTGATGTCGGAATTAGTTGTGGCGACCAGTCTCTCTACTTAACCAGGCAACTATTTAGGATGACTAACATTCCCACTGCTTTTGCAGGTGGCATGCAAGAAGCTCATTTACTCTAACTACTCTTTGACCTAGTTGCAGTTCAGCAAGGTCTCGGAAAAGTGCGACAAGATCTCGGGATATCTAGATTCTAGGGTAACGTTGAGTGAGACCTTAATGAGGTTTTTCCTACCAATCACGTGAAAAGGCTTTTTGTATACGCCCTCGGTGCACTGCCGCAAATAACTCTTCGATTCAACAAAGAGCTTGAGCTATTTTCCCTTCTGTTATTACTCTGATCATGACGTACCCATTTTTGGCTACATAAGCTGCAGAATGTTGGTGTATAGTACCCATAGTTCTTATTTGATGCATGGTACAATTGCTGAGCTTTTAAGCAGCTGTGGAGAGATTGCTTCTGAGTCTTTTCGGTGACACTTCTTTGGACTTCGTCGGAAAGCCACTACAGCCGTGGAAGCAGTGCCCAATAATGCAGCGATCGGCTTGCGCTGGACATCCTCGTCAGGTTGCCGAAGAAGTCCGTTATCAAATGATTTGGAAACATCCAGGGCCAGAATCAACCTGATTTGTACTAGTGAATAGCTCCCATCAATCTCAACGATTGCCCCCGCCCGCATACTTGTTGCTTCCTATCCACTAATATGTATCGACTGCTCTGGATGTAACGATACAAGACCCTACTTATCCGCAACGCGTTCGTGGGTAGCGGCAGCTTGAGTTTCTTCTTCTCCCAGCCCCCCTCTTTTGCTCATGTAAAACCACATCCATATCGAAAGGGCGAAACAAACGGAAATCAGGAAAGCAAACTGTGTCGCCATCAAAGTCCCTCTCCAATAAGCACTCTTACCGGAGTACCAGCAGACCATCCCAAGGAGGAATTCGAGGATCGAAAGGTCCAGGAGTACCAAGGGCGCCCAGGCTACAGCCAAGTCCCTTCGGGTGGCCTTTTCCGGTTTCTCGAATTGGAAAAGCAGCATAGGCCGACAACAGCAGAGATGACAGCTGTAATGGCCGAGCTGCACAAAAAGCCTTCAGAGGTCTGTATTAATCGGCTGTTTGTTGGATGAAATTCGGAAAAGGTCAAGGCGCCAACAGCAAGCCCGCCGATAAGTGCAGCAAGCACCACGAAAGTGTTGTAGAAACGCTGGATACGTTGGAAAACAAGGAACGCCCTGACGTCGAGTTGCTTGCCGCATCGCAGAGAACGCATATGTCAGAGGTCACAAGCTAAGTCAGATCCACGGTTCCGCAGGTCAATGTGAGGAGTATGCTTCTTTGCGTTCTAATAGCGCTCCAATCATCTAGTTTTGGTTGTGACAGGTCGACGACTGCCTGATACACCTGGTACAGAGAACGAAGAGAAATCTCTAGTAACCGTGCTTGCGAAGAAAGAAACAGAAGACAATATTGTCATGTTCAGTGGCATCATGGAGGAGAGTTTAGGAAACATATATGGACAAGTGTTGAGTGTTACCCTTCAGTGAAGTGAGTGTGGCTAAGAGTAAGACATATCATGTAACTAACCGTATGAAATAGGAGTACTTCAACTGTTGGGTCGAATACAGAAATCATCAGGTCGATTTGGATTCGAGGATCATGCATAATTGGTCCAGTGTGAATCAATACAGGCATTGACTCTCCAGCCAGCCAGTGATCTTTTTGCAGTTGAGAACCTCATATCGAGGGCTTCATGAATATCTATCGGCTATACTGGCACATGGAGACGAAGAAAGATGATATCTTGGTGACTACCTGGAAAAGGGGGAGCTATTTACGTGTGTCACGTGATCCAAGCGATGTACCTAGTACCAGACAGCCGATCGGCTGCATCAGGCGAAACACCTGATTTATCACGTGACACAGCTGTTTCCCTCCAACAACTCTTCCAGACTGAGACAACAAGCATGGGAACGGCGCTGATCCATCGCTCCTGATTTTTTAAAAATCATTTCTCTGGTTGCTGTCTACAGTCTAGACCCGATGCTACATCATAGTCTAACTGGGTTTTATATGCCACTCTGGTGGCAACTACTTCTCAAGATTGGCCAAGGGCCATACAACGCTATAATCATGTGAAGGCAGTCTGTTTTGCACGAAAATATCGATCTAAATTTTCCCCTGTCCCTTTCATGTCTTCAGAAAATAGCAGAATAGAGCCACTTCCGCCTGAAGTTGTGGCAAAGATTAAATCTTCAACTTCCATTCCCGATCTCAATAGAGTGGTTGTGGAACTCGTCAAGAATGCGTTGGATGCACATGCGCACACGGTCTCCATAACGGTTGATTTTCACCGCGGGGGATGTATGGTTGAGGACGACGGTGATGGAATACCCCCGGCCGAATTCGAGTCGGACGGAGGACTAGGGAAAGCGCATCGTACGTGGGCCTCGCACCGGTTAGCTGTCTTCTCGCTCATCTCACATACAGATACCTCGAAATTACATCCAGCAAAAGTTGTCTACGGCCGTAGAGGGCTATTCCTCGCTTCTCTGGCTTCTCTTTCGCTGTTGACGGTGACCTCGCACCATTTCCGTCACAACAGCACCAATAGTGTCATCTTCCATCATTCGACTCCGATCGCACGCTTGATGCCAGCACCATCATCGCATCACTTGAGTTCTAGCGGTCATGGGACGCGCGTTACTGTCAATGACTTGTTTGGCAATATGCCTGTGCGCGTGAAAAGTCGGGCCCTAGCCCTTCAGAAACCCGACGAATTCGAGCGGCAGTGGGATGGTCTCCGGCAATTACTCATTCCTTTAATGTTGGCAAGTGACCATCTCACTAAACTGGTGATCTCGACCGCTGGAAAAGAGAGGAAACTCATCATTCGCTCACACGCTGGGCGTCAAGAGACTAAGGGAGACTTGGATATCCAACGCACCGCTTCTATACTTACGCAGGCCTGTCTGGTTGAGCCGCAGAAATCTGGTAGCTGGAATTCTGTGTCAGCATGCGTCCCCGGCATTTCGCTGCACGCCGCTGTATCCCTTGTGCCCAGCCCCACGAAGAAGGTTCAGTTTATCTCCATTGGGATCGACCCAGTCTACCCGCGCAACAGCACGGACCTGCTCTATAGTGAAATCAACCGTCTGTTTGCTTTGTCCGATTTTGGTGCGGTTGAAGCGGTCCCTGTAAGCAGCGACGGAAGCGCAAGTCCTAAATTTACAAGCAAGGCCGTCAACAAATGGCCGATGTTCTACATACGCATAGCCGTTGATGATCCTAGAGAACTCTACGAGGAAGGTCATGAGCGGGTACCGGAGTCAAACCAGTCCGTTCAGCGTATCATTGATGTGCTTGCGGCGATGATGACCGAGTTCTTGAAACAACATGGTCTACGACCACGTGCGGGGCGACAAAAGAAAGGTGCATCTCAGAGGTTTACGGACGTTGAGTCGCCAGGGGCCGGCAGATCTAATCTTACAAAATCTGTGTTTTCACACAACAAATCTTCCATTGCCGAAGAAGCCTTGGCAGGCCAGTTGAAGCTGCCGACCTTTCGAAGACCAACGTCAATGAATTCTGGTTCAGATTTTACGACTTGGTCTAGGGTGAAATGCGCGATGGAGCCGTCCGCTGGTAAGCATGAGTCGGCCGATGGGTGGAGGAAAGCACATTCAAGGCCTTCTTCGGAGTACCCCGATAGAGATTCGTTGCCAATTTGTCTAGAGACAGATGATCCATTGGCCGGTAACGACCTCGAGATTACTGAAAATGGCGGGCCGGATGTTGATGCATCGATACCATGGACCGACCCCCATACCGGACGTACTCATTTGATCAATGCAAGAACGGGCCAAGCAATCAATGTTAGATCACCATCGATTGCATCTATGGCTGACGAGCGGCCCCGATCTGCCGGAACACTTCAGACACTGCGCGCGCTCGATAGGTCAAGGCCAAGGTCGGCACTCTCAAGCAAAAGTCATAATATCTGGGTTGAGAACCTCCTGAGGAGATGGGAAAATCCCGCTTTCAGTCGACCGGAAAGACCCATAAGCGCGATTTTCGACGGTGAAAATCATGGAAATACGAGTGATAAGATGGTCGTTTGGCCGTATGACGGCTCAGGAGAGTCTTGTGGATTGGAAGATTTTGGATTGGCGAAATTCCGAGGCCGATTACGCAAGAGTCACCTGGCCACGGCCGGCATCATTGCACAGGTGGATCGAAAGTTTATCCTCGCAAAGCTTGCTGATGGTCATAGCTCACGGTCGGCCCTGGTCTTGATCGATCAACATGCTGCGGATGAACGATGTCGGATTGAGCGCCTTTTTGGAGAAATGTTCGTTGATGGCCATCATCGAGTTCAGACCATCAGGATTGACCCTATTGCTTTTGATATCCCGCTGATGGAGGCCACTCTTTTTGGAAAGCACGCAGACTTTTTTGCTTCTTGGGGTGTTGGGTACCGTGTTGAGCAGAAATCATCAGCCAGAGCTGCCCTCGTTGTCGTGCATTCACTTCCCACACTGATCGCAGAGCGATGCCGAGTAGAACCCAACCTGGTCAGCGACATGATCCGCGGCGAGCTATGGAAACGCGAGGAGAACGGACGGGGTGCTTTGGCTCTCAGTGATCGACGAACCCACCAGGACGAGTTGGAGGGCGAGACCGAGGACACCTGGGTGGAACGACTCAAGGGCTGCCCTCAGGGGATTATTCACTTGCTGAACTCTCGGGCATGCAGAACAGCAGTCATGTTCAACGATGCCCTAACGACCGAGGAGTGCGAAAGTCTTATAGGTCGACTGGCGCGATGCGTGCTGCCTTTTCAGTGCGCTCATGGACGGCCGTCTATGATCCCGGTTCTTGATCTGAGGGAAGGTGAGGAGTTGTTGAGGAAGAGTGCCGAATGTGAATATGAATATGAAAGGACTGAAGGTCGACAACAGCCGGATTTTCTTGAGGCTTTTCGATCTTGGCAGGCTCTTGGTGAGGACTGAAGCTTCATGCTGGGGTATTTCAACTCGACTGTTAGAGCATGAGGAACTATGACCAGCTACTAACAATATGTAAATAGCCACATATCGGTCTTAAAGTCGAATTACGTTGGAGAACAACGTTAGGAACCTTGACTTGTGCCGGTAAGTCTCACCGGCTCCTGGTGCCGTACATCAGCAGAACTACATAGGGTGTGTTTATAATAACTACCTCGATTGCTGTGGATCAAGCAACCGATTTTACTGTGTCGAGGGATTATGGAGTATCTGATGGTCCTGTCTCATCCTGAGATTCTGGCGGTCAGTATAGGAAGGAAAGCTTCGAGATCGACAAGGTGGCTGGTCATAAAGGTACTATTCGCTTTCAATATCAAATACCGTCCGCTACGGAGTAAATTGATGTGAACGGTTTATTAATTTGTACGAAGCGTACTCCGTATGATCCTTGAGTAGGCCTAGTATGTCGCCGCCGGGGCTCAGGATTTGAGACATCCAGGAGAGCGAGTGATAAGGGGTCCAACGGGATTGGATTGTTTCTCTCACAATCATCAGTAATTCTGAGATTGTGTCTCGGGGACACCTGAGGTTGAGTCACGATAGCAAGGTAGATCGGACTTGGAGAATTGAGAACAATGACTTGCAATCATATCGGTTGTTCGGTACGCGGTGTTGGGTACACCATGAGATGATGAGTTTGGTTCGGCTCCACAACAAGTAGACAAGACATCCTTGGTTATGGGTTCCCGATTGAAAATCTGAAACAGAACTGCCAAGTGCCAACCCCGGCAGAGTACGGAGTACAGCATCTAAACCTCATGGATGATGGACGACGTACTGTAAGTCGTAAGCAGTCAGTACTGTAGTGTGTAGACGAGGCTGGTTAGCTGCAGAAATCAATCCCTGCTCGTCCTCCCTCAGACCCCCTGCGTTAAGACTTAAGACCACGGTGGTGCTTCATGGCTGGGGGAGAGGCCAGCCCCGGACTTGGCTACATCTGCATCTTGCGGTGCGACCAGCAGCAGGATAGGATCACTTGCCAACTTACCCAGGGTTGATTATAACTTACGAATATGTATCATGTATCAAGAATTAAACAATGCCTGATGGTTTGATGGTTCACAATATGGTCATCTTATGCGCGCGGCATAATGAATACTTATTAATAGTACTCTGTAGTGTACTCCACCAAAAATCATGTTGCCTGTCACAGTTTGTGCAAACCTCGGCAGGAAACCCACTTTTTCTACTCCTTATCCTGGATCTTGACACACCGTAAGAACGAACTTACATCTTGACAGTACGTACCGCGTAGATAGTAGTAGGTGAGGGATTATCCTCTTGGGAGTTGGAGTTGGGACTCTAGGAGTCGGAGATCATCACCTCGAGGCATCCAGCATGTGCCATTTGCTTCGATTGTGTTGTTGAAGTGGTTGGAAGGATCAATTTCCTATCCAATCATCCAGCATGTCATCAAAGTCCAGACTGTTCTATCCAGACACTCGGACCTAAGATACCTGAGATTCTCGGATTCTACACGGTTCGAGACTCTGAAAGTCCGAGTCATTGGATGGGCTTGACATGTCGAAGCTGAGAGAGGAACTGGACGACTGGAAGGTCTCTGATGGCGGGGAGGTTGACAGCCAAATGCTGATATCAAGCAAGGGAGTTCGCCAGTGCACCGGTCACCACCACCGAAAAGGTTACATCTGATGTTGATCATTTCCAGTCCGGACAGTAGTGGTTCTCTCCAGCCGTTCAAGTATTATTTGCGGATAGATAGGTAGGGGTGGTGCAGTGGAAATCCACTGGATCCGAGCATTGAGATCTCCCGTGGTTCTTGAACGTTGATCACTGGCGAGTGTCAACAACTGTTACAGTAGATCATATAGATTTGCGATACGTCCTCCATCCGGGTCGAAGAGGCTGAAAGTTCAAAGAAGAGTCTGTCATGCCATCCATATTTGTGGCTAAAATTATCGTTGGAGAGGCTGGATTAAAGTACGCGAATTGTGTCACCAGAATTTTTTTAGCGTGACAAAAACAATGAAAACATAAGGTACCTAGTAGTAAAATAGATAATTTCTTAGGTTACCTTACCTCCTTGACGTTATCAAAGCCGACCTGCAGTAGTTCGTTACCACGCCCTAGATGCTTTGAAATTATTGTTGTCTCTCCTGCGTCGATGAGGCATATCAGTTTCGTCTGCACGTTTGTACCCGTTCCGTTGTGCCCTGCCTCTTTCTTTTCCTTTTTCATGGATAAAAAAATTCCTGCCTTTCCGATGGACGTCGTTTGTCGATACCCTCAGTCGCTAGTTTCTGCTGATAGCAATCCTTGATCGTCGATTACCCTATAATACCGTCTCCCTCGCAGATAAAAGAAAGGGGAGGGAAAAAAAAAAAAAAAATCAAATCCAAGACCAACATATCATAATCAGCCACCAGTTGTGCAGGTAGAAGTGGGTATACCCGTCATCCTAGTGTTGGACTAGACTCAAGTGCATAGACTGTTCACTCGGTGTGCGTGTGCACAGCGGAGCGGAGAGTAGACTGGAACCATCCAAGTGGTTGAACCAAAGAAAGAGGAAGACTGGAGACTGGAGACTGAGACTGGAGGGAGCGAAGACGAGAAAGAAACGTGCACGTAGAGCTAGAGGAGGAGAGGGGCAAAACACGGCCGGGGATGGAGTCGTCGTCCGTTGTATCAAAGAGTCCACGCAATACCTCTTGATGAAAAGAGATGGAGATATCGCAAAGAGAAAAGAGAAGAAAAGAAGGCCAGGAGAGGTGAGCTTCTCTCCTAGTGAGTGTATCACCTGTTGTTCTCCTTTCTTTATTATTCAGTCCTTCACTGCTCCAACACTAAGATACTACTACTATTACTACCACTACTACTCCTTTTCCACCCCTCTCTAGTGCACTGTGCTTGCATGCTGCAGGAGTAGATCAATTTCTCCACGCATTCCCAATTTTTCCCCCTTTCCCCTCTTCAAACTCACTGCCTTTTCTCTCTCCACACTCATCTCATCCTTCTTTGCTTCCTCTGTTCGATTTCATATACCTGGATAGCTCATCTTTCCAGCAAGGTTGTCCAGCCCATCCCGCGACCATTGTCGCAATTCTCCTCTACTTATGCGTCCTCGTCTCCACCGCGATTCCCTCCCTATTGATCCCGAAGCTCCTGATCGTTGAAACCACCCTCCCTCATTGGCGCTGGTTTCGCGCTCAAGATCACAGTTGAACTTGGGGGTTTTTTTATTTTATTTTATTTTTTTTTTTTTATTTTTTTTTTTGGCTTCATGTGATGACGATAAAATTCACGGTAGATTTTGTGACGAATTGAACGATCATCCACCAGCAGCTCATCTGCTGCTACATCAGACACACCCCCTCATCCATACCAAAAAAAAAAGAATATGCCTTACTCTTCCACCCCCGAGGTGTCCCCCACACCTCTCGCGGATTACTTCTGGATAGCTGGCGTGGATGGCACAGAGATTCTTGAAACCTTCCGAAGGTTGGGCGATGAATACAGGGCCAACAGCGCCACTTCTCCCGGTCCCGCTCTTACAGATACCATTGAGGAGGATGCGGACGCTGAGGAGGCTCACGATCCCCGTCTGGATGGACTCTCGAGACCCAATTCGACTCTGCCCGGCCGTAACTCGTTTCAGCGATTCTCTATGCGCTCGGAGAACCCCACCGAGGCAAATGCGAACGGCTCCAACAGCAATCGGAGCAGCCTGACTATCAAGGGTGCGCAATCCCCTCGGGGCTCGTCGTTTCTGGAGGACTTTGACTTCGACAAGGCGCTGTTCAAGTTCGCGTCCGAAAGGGATTCGTTTCTGTCCGACCTGAGTCTCAGTGCCGGGGCCATCACGCCCGCTTCACGCCCCCGGTCTCGGTTGCGCACTCAGAAAATCACCTCGGAGGAGACTCCGTCACAGCCGTCGAGCCTACTACGATCTGGAATCGGTAGCGTACGACGACATATGGCCTTTCGGGATATGAACAGTATGAAGCGCCAGCCTTCGGTTGCCCGTCAGGGTGAGTACAGATTCGGCGACCTTTGCCCTCTTTTTGAATTCTTTACTCCGTCATCTGCGTGACAATGGACTAAACTCTGTTCTTTCCTTGACAGCTTCCATTCGTACTTCACGGCGTCTCAGCAATTACAATTCTGTCATCCCCGCTCCGCAACCCCTGGAGTTCTCCCCCACCATGCACCCCCTGAAACGGAGATTCGAGCCCGTTCTTCTCGATCGATACCCAACCAAAGGCATGACGGACGATTTGAAGCAGCGCGGAAACTTTCCGGATTACGTGCCGATGTTTGCTTTTCCCAATGATATCAATATCGTGTCTTCTGACCAGCGGCCTCGGTCCACGTGGCACGGGTTTACCATGACGACTGACAACGGTTCGCGACTGCATGCAATCTGCGCCATCATCTGGATTCCTTTGAACCAACAAGCGGCCGAAGAGTTGGAGAAGCGTTGTGAAGAGTGGAGGAGAGAGAACATGACAGACGAGGAGCGGGAGCTGGCGGCGAGTCTCGGGGAACGGCTGGCCTCGGAGCGGGCCAAGCTGTCCAGACTCCTGGCGCAGCTTCCCACCGTACCCTCCGGGTCGGAGTCGAGAGAACAATTGGAAGATGAGATCAGCGCTGTGGAGGAGAAGATTGGGCTGATGACCGATCTGCTGCGGCCGGTCCGTCACGGGGCCGCGTCGAAGATCGAAGGGCTGACCGACGGGGAAACCGGGTTCTGGATCCCCCGCGCCTATGGTATTTTGGGGCGCGAGGAGAACATGACCAGCTTCTGGAAGGAGTGGTTGAAGGCCATCATTGTCCCCATGACCGAGGGCGGCATTCAGCGAATCCCTCCCAGCTCACCGCGCATGGGTGTCTGGCAACCACTGGAGCGATACGTGATGAATCTGTGCACCGAGGCATTCAGCCCCAACTCGTCAAAGACGCAGGTCGAGCTGGCCGTTCGGGAGCTGCGCCTGTTCGCACGCAAGGAGGCGGCCAATGAGCTGCCCGGCTCCAGAAACACGGACCTCTATGCGCTGTTCCGGACGCTGTCCCTGTCGAACATCATCATCCTGTTCGAGTACGCTCTCACCGAGTCGCGCATCATCTTCCTCTCGTCCCACACGTCGATGCTCTACCTGGCCACCAGAGCTCTGGTCGACCTGCTGTTCCCGCTCCAGTGGACCGGCGTGCTGATTCCCGTGCTCCCGGCCCGGTTGATCCAGGCGCTGGAGGCCCCCTGTCCGTACATCGTGGGCATCGAGCGTCGATATGAGAAGGTCGAATTGCCGTCCGATGACTTTGTCCTGGTGGATCTGGATGCCGACCTGATCGAGAGCACGGTGCAGCCGACGCCCCTGCCGCGTCATCAGCGCCGGAAGCTGCTGTCGCTGCTCCAGCTTGCGGCGCCCCACCACGGTCGGTGCGCGGTACCCACTGGCCCTCCGGCGTACGCCATCGAGACATTCCCCTTTGATGCCTTTATGTCTGAAAACCCGTCCATTTTCAATGCCCGGGCGCATTCCACTCAACTGGCCAAATATGTCAGTCTCAATTCGAGTGCGTTTGGCCAACAGTCCGTGCTGCCCACTACGTACCAGCCACTCATCTTCAACGCTTATCTGTATGCCCGTCACGAGCAAGCTACATCCAGGGGCTTCTCCTCCAAAGGCTCCGACCGACCAAGCACCGGGTCCACATTCAAGACTGGGTCACCACCTTCCCCGAGGGACAACTCGCCGATCTCGGGCCACTTCCCGCCCAGCTCTCGGAACGATTCGGGTATGGCCCTGCAGGCTTCGCTGCGGGAGAAACGGTCGGGTCATTTCGATGCCGCATCCCGGCGAAGCTCGTCCTTTGGGATGGAGATGAAGCCGGGTGTGCCGAGACGGCCGAGTGCTCCTTTCCTTGGCCATGCGCCCAATCTGTCGGTCACGACGTTGAACACCGATTACAATCCCGGCTCCACCTATGCACCCTCTGTCTATGCTCAGTCCACGGTGGCAGCCTCGACAATTGTCCCGCAGTCTGTCGCACAGCCCATCCACAACGCCGAAGGCACTTGCTGGGTTGAGGGCCACTGCCTCCATGTGGTCCCGGCCGATGACAAGGCCGTCTGTGCCGTGTGCGATGAGCGAGCGGAGGACGGCATGTACCGGTGCACTGCCTGCAAGACTCTGGTGCACAACCGGTGCGCTCTGCAGATCTGTCTGGTTTGTCCCGCGGCGTTCCACCCGGAGCAGATTCGGGCCGCCTTTGTCAGATGCTTCGCCAGCCTGTTCTACACCTACAAGAAGTTCCTTCAACCGGCCACTGGCGACAAGAAAAAGGCGGGTCTGACGTACAGCTTCAACATGGAAGCATTCTTGAAAAGCCTGCCTGGCGAGCATGCCGAGTACATTGCGGTCCTGCAGCACACACAAGGTAAGCTCCGGAAACCGGAACGCGTCGGTGTCTGTATGCTAAAACCTCATCAGGGTTTAACGAGTTCATTGGGGAAAGAGAAAGGGTAAATCCCAAGTCGAAGGACCCCCGACTGGCCTTGTTCGATGAGATTGTTCTGTCGAAACGGAATCGGGGTCGTTCGTCCCTGTTTTCCAGCCGGACCATGACCGATTTCCTGTCCGACACCTCGAACCATCTCTGGCGAACAGCCAGTGCGACCTCGTTTGCACCGAGCAGCAGGGGCCAACAGACTCTTTCTGGGGATTATACCCGCATTGTCACCAGAGGTTCGTCGACCATCTGCAAACTTGTTAGCCTGCCTGTAGAATGACGCTAATCAGTCACAGCCCCAGCCAAGCTCGACACCAGTCTGATGAAGGAACCACGCATGATCAATGGAGCGCCTCGGGTCTCCAAGACGGCCAACAATGCTCGCAGGAAGCCGCTTCCTAACCTGATGAACGGGCTTGCCATCTCTCCTCCGTAATACGAGGAGATTAAATGTTGGAGGGGTTTGATATGCCCTAGAACACTATTGGATACGACGCTGTCCACGTGGCATGCACCAGTCATATCTCTCACTGGGATCAGTCACCGTGTCTGTTCACTTGTGGCAGTTGCACCTGGAGACTTAGGTGGTGACAGTTTGAAGCATCCACTGCCGAGAGGACGATGTTCCTGCCTGCGCTCGAAAGGCTGCGGTGGGGAATGCTACTTTGCATGGCAAGGAAAGGGGCCGCGCACGGGAGCCAGTCTGAGGCAGGCTATTCTCCGCGCTGAAGAGTATTTCCGGATCTGGTCCTCTTCAGACGGGATCTGGACGAGTCGCATGCATAATTTGAGCCTGGCACATACGTCACTACTCACGATGTAATGGCCTGACATGAAACCGGACCTTTCGAAGTACCTCCCATTACATACATCGACGCCTGCATATTTGTACACATACAAATCTTCTCTTACTTTCTACATTTGGACGAGTGGTTCTCGATGTATTTTCCGCTGTCTCTGGATATGATTGCTTGGTCTTCTGCCTGACTAGATTTGGATTTGGATTTGGCTTTGGATTCTTTTTTATTTTCTCATACCCCGAATGACTGGACGGTATTTCTCCGTCTGCGTTTGACTTATTTGTTCCTAGAGATTTTCACCTTTTTTTTGGAAGAGACATCTTGTTGCATATGTGAATGTGTCAGTGGAATGTATCAGCCGACGGCAGAGATAGGCAGATCACCATTCAGATAAGCATGTCTCAAGTGCAGATTCTTCCACAAATGCCAGGCCAGGCCTAGGTATTGGCTTTATCTGTCTGGACTCGGGCAGACTGGCCTACTGTTGCATGGGTCCAAGAGGTGAAGCTTGTGCAGTTGTACTCCGTAGGACTGACTGGAGGAGGTAGGCTACGGCAGACACAACTGATCAATAGCCGGGGACCATGGCTATGGACCTATCCTTAATTCCCAACCAATCCATAGATCTGAGGCGGGTGGGTTCTCCAAGGGAACCAGGGCCAGTCAGATGGGGCGGTGGGAACGCCTGAGGTTTCTTTTTCCTCGTATCATCGGAGGTTCTGAGTAGAAGGAGTTACTCCGTAGGGTAGATCTTTCTACTTACTATCAGGGTCTCGAGGTCTTGTTCTGCATGGAATGGTGGACAGAAGACCCAGGATCCCAGATGTCTTGCATGACGATCATTACTGTGTTGGACACTAGGTAATAGAAGGGCATATTTCCATGATGTATAGAGAATATCTGAATAGGAATAGGGGTACTGTACTGGATCATGACTTCTTTGGCAGTAGAGTATTTACCAGAGACTGTTCCAGCATTCTTTCTTTCTGTGATAATTGAACTTTATAAAGAAGAAGAAATGTGATTGGCGGAGAAATACCGTCCGGCAGCGGAGGCGGAAACCCGGGGAAATTCAGCCGGAGAGAAATGCAAGAAGAAGAAGAGGAAGAGGAAGAATGTTACTTACTTTCTAATGACAAGTGACACGGTTGAAGTCTGTCACTCTCAGTCTCTTCCTCAGGTCTTGCTCGCTTCTATCAGTATCAAGAAGGTAAAGGTAACCTTACAGTCAGACGTCGGAGTTGCCGCCCCATGCCTTCTCCTGGTCGGTTTCCTTCCTAATCCTGGCACTGGTGGATGATACCTTGATCTATCCTATCCTATCCTATCCTATCCTATCCTATCCTTCTCGTCTCACTACTTTCTACACTATCCCTCTATCATTCCTCCTTTATCTTTATCTTTATCTCTATTTGATACCCGTTCTCCCTCTCTTCCGGATAATACCCTCCCTGGACAGGAACAAACATTAAAGGCTAAACTCCCTCTGTTGGAATTACCCAGAGAACAACATCACAGTGAGCGTGCGTCTGTCACTGTTGCTCACCACATTTCCTCTATTTTTATGAATGATACCTCTTCATCTTTCTGTTTCTAATACAATCACCAACTTCCTGTCTGTCTATATCCATTGGGTCAACTATGAACCGTGCAGGCTACCTGCCCATGCAATGAGATGATGCAGACAGCCATTCATCAGCCCATGGCGATGACCCTTCTTGCTGATCCCACTCCTTCTGTTACCAGCACTCCCTCTCCTGTGAAGGGTACTCATCCCCCTCCTCAGACTGTCCCCGCGGATCCTCCGAGGACGGTGGTGGTTGTTTACGGTCCCGGCCAGGACACCATTGTGCAGGTTGTCGCCGAGGTTCTGGGCAAACCGTGGACCACGGAAACGTCGCTGTCCTCGCTGGTGAAGGGCAGTAATGCCGTCGTGGTGGGGATCCTGGCCGACGAGCTGGCCCGCAGTCTCGAAGGGTGCGACCCTTCCACCCTGATCGTGATCAACACGCACTGTGTGGACGACGGCTCTGCGCCGGACGAGGCGCTCACCGACCGCTGCGACTATGAGTTTCTGTACTCGCACAGCCCGGTTCTGCGGCGCGATCTGACGCGGTTCCTGTCGTTGGTCCTGGGCCAGACGCGGCCGCACGAGGATCTGAAGACCAAGACGCGCACCAACTTCATCTCGACGACTTTCCCCGATGTGCATGCGGCGCTGCCGAACCTGGACATCCTGTCGGTCGGGTCGGATGCGGTGGAGATCCGGGTGGACCTGCTGGTCGAGCCGTCGCCGCAGGGGGTCACCAGCCCCGTCCCGAGCCTCCGGTACGTGGGCCAGCAGGTGATGCTGCTGCGGCAGCACACGGAGCTGCCGATCATCTTCACGACGCGATGCACGCGGGAGAACGGCAAGTTCCCCATGGACGACCCGATGCTGTTCTACCGGTACCTGCGGCGGGCGATCCAGTGGGGGTGCGAGTACATCGACGTGGAGCTGTGGCTGCCGGAGGAGATCCGGCGGCGGCTGGCCGAGCACAAGGGCCACAGCGTGATCATGTCGGCGTTCCATGATTTCTCGGGCACCTGGAAGTGGACATCGCCCGAGGCGGCGCGGATCTTCGCGGAGAGCGCCCGGTACGCGGACATCGTCAAGATGATCGCCATGGTGCACACGATCGAGGCCAACTACGAGCTGGAGTACTTCCGGTCGACGGTCAAGGCGAGCGGGTCGCCGCCGCCATCCCCGCTGCTGTCGGCGGTCAACATGGGCCAGATGGGCCAGCTGTCGCGGGCGCTCAACACGGTGTTCTCGCCCATCACGCACCCGCTGCTGCCGATGATCGCGGCGCCGGGCCAGCTGACGGCGGCGGAGATCAACGAGGCGATGCACATCATGGGGTCGCTGCCGAAGCGGGACCTGTACGCGATCGGGTCGTTCCGGGCGACGCCGCAGTCGATGTTCATGGAGAAGTGTTTCAATGAGCTGAGCCTGCCGCACACGCTGACGTCGATCGACCGCGGCCCCAAGGGGACCATCGAAGGGGTGATCATGCAGCCCAGCTTCGGGGGCGCCTCGGTCAACCCGCCCATCTCGGCGGCGACGCCGTACATCCCCGCGGTCAGCGAGGCGGCGCGGGCGATCGGATTGATTGATACCATTGTGGTGCAGGGCGATGGACCCACGACGACGCGGACGCTGATGGGGGAGAACGCGACGTGGAAGGGCATCCGGGCGACCCTGACGCGGGACTACGTGCCGTCGGCGTACCGGGGCCGGGCGGCGATCATCCTGGCGGGGTCGGAGAGCGATGCGTCGGCGGCGATCTTTGCGCTGCGCAGTCTCGGGGTGGGAGCGATCTACACGGTCGGATTCCGGGCGACGGGACCGCTGGCGGCGGGGCTGGAGCCGTTCACGTCGATCCAGTCGGTGAAGCTGGTGGAGCAGCCGTTTGTGATGGTGTCGGCGCTGCCGCCGGAGAAGTCGCTGCTGGTGCAGCCGCTGCTGCGGCACTACCGCAGCACGGGGCGGACGTCGCCGCGGTCGACGCGGGGGAAGGTGTACCTGGATCTGACGGCGAGTTCGGGGGCGCGCAAGGGGGATCCGGTGGGCGTGGCGGTGGGAGCGGGCTGGACGGCGTACGGGATTGACGAGGTGACGGCGTGGACGACGGTGGAAACCTTGCGGCTGCTGGTGGGACAGAATGTGCCGTTTGATTTTGTGCGGATGGCTTCGGGGAGGATTTATTAATCTTCATCTACATCTATCTACAGCTACATCTACATCTCATCTACAGTATCATAGTGGAGTACTTGTACGTAGTAGCTTGACTAATGTGGGGACCCCGGGATGTGTAACAGCCGGTATTAGCAGTATTTTATCCTTAGTCCTTAGGTCAGGTCCTCTGTGCATCGGAGACACTTCTACAAAGAGACTTGTGTGACGGTGATTGTTTCAGCCGATGCGCAGTCAATATAGTACTTATATTAAGGCTCTGCTTGTTTATAGCTGAAGAATCGAGTCAGGATTTGACCTCAGAACCTCGTGTCTGTACTGCTCTCGTGCTAGGACTAGGACTAGGTCCGTCTCGAATGGAGTAAAAGAGCAGTGGGCGACAGGACGGGAGTTCGGTCCGTGAGAGATTAAGATTAATTTGCAAGACGTCGAAGCGAGGAATAGCCGATGAAGAAATGATCGACTCCCCGGATTTTGCTCTTGCTCTGCTGTGTCTCACTGTCTCTTTATCTGGTGTATTGTATCCCCGCACTCCGGTGGCACATAGACCGAGTCGAGTAGGATAATAATTAAGGCTTCGTCTTGTTTCTGCTAGCCTCGCACTATTTTAGCTGGTGGATGGATCATGGATCATGGCTAAATATGAATCTAACCCTGAATCGTCTCTTTTCCGACACTAGACAGTAACAGTAGACGCTCGACACTCCTCAGACTGAGAGACTCGGAGACTCCAGACTCCAGACTTGCTGCTCTCTCCAGATTCCCCACTCGGTCTTCTTTGACTCGACTCTTTGGATATTAATCTTCTTCTTTCTCTGTTGACTCTATCTACTGCAGACTGGTCGATGATCTTCATCCCTGTCTTACTTTCCTCTCTCCACAGTCTTGACTCGGCCACTTTAATTTAACTGATCCTCTTCTCCTCTTCCTCTTCCTCTGTCTCTGTCTCTCTTCCCAATGTCTTGACCAATTTCCTTTCTTATCTTTATCCTTCTACCACCAAATATGTCCTCTGTAATTTCTCGCCCCACCGTCAGCATCGACCGGCTCACTCCCCGCCGAGTCACTGCCGAACCGCGCGAGTCCATGAACTGCAAATCCTGTCGAAAGCGAAAGGTGAGAGTATTCGTCATCTTGTCTCTCAATCAACTGCTAATTTTCAGATCAGATCAAATGCAATCGCATGCGTCCCAGCTGTGAAGCATGCAAGGTCTTCCAATGCCCATGCATCTACGGTACTTTCCGCCTTGTCCCTCGCCCTGTACGCACCACTAATTGTATATCATATATGTATAGATGCCGTCCCCAAAAAACGCGGCCCCAAAACAGACGTCCTCGAAGCCCTGCTCAAGCGCGTCGACGGTCTCGAGAAACGTCTCCAGGACGAAAACAAAAATCCCATCTCGCCCACCTCCCCCGTCGACCCCGACAAGGAGCCTCCTGACCCGTCGCCGTCGGCCTCGCTGAACGCCATCGCTCGTGCATCCACGACCACCATTCCCCCGTCCGAACCCTTTCCACGACCATTTTCCTTCGCCTCGCAGCCGTCGCCTCCCGTTCATCATTTTGCCTTGCCGGATTCCGTCTTGGATGCGTACTTTGCCCGCATCCATGGCAAACCCTACTTCATCCTCGACGAGTCGGTGACTCGTCAGCGTCATCAGATGGGTCAATTGCCTGTCGCGTTGTCGATGGCCATCTACGCTATGACTTTGCGGTTTGTTTTTGCTCTGCATCTCGTTCTCCAGCAACTGACCATTGCAGATATACGAGCTCGCCCAACACCCCCGAGCAGTCCCTGCGCATGGCCCTGGATTACGCCCTGCAGGCCCGACGCATCGTGGATGTCGATCAACCGTCTATGGATGGGCTGCAGGCCCTGCTTCTCCTCTCGCAGACATACTTTGCCCATGGTCTAGGCAAAAAGGCTTATATGACTTTCAGTATGCAACCATCGCCTCGCCCCTAGAGACATATATTGATAACCTGCAGCCAACTGTGCCTCCATGGCCATCGCTCTCGATCTCTATCGCGAGGCCCCCAAGAGTCTGCCCGCGGCGGAACGCGAGATGCGCCGCCGGCTCTTCTGGGCCGTCTACATCATGGACCGCTTCCTGACCTGCGGCTCGAAACGGCCCGGCCTCATCGCCGACCACTCCATCGTCCTGCGGCTCCCCTGCTGGTCCCCCCATGCGGCCGGTCTCAATGTCGAGGGCGAGCTCTTCAACACCGTCGGCCCCAACATCCAGTACTCGAGCGACCCGCGCCGCAAACCCGGGGCCGCCGCCCTCCTCATCGACATCACCCGCATCCTGGGGATCACCAACCGCTACCTGGCCGCCGGCGGCGTCAAGGGCGACTCGCACTTCCCCTGGCACTCGCTGTCCAACCTCTCCAAGATCCGGCAGGAACTGGACATCTGGGCCACCGGCACCCAGGACGTCTTCGCCTCCGTGGAAGCGCTGTTCGGCCATCCCGAGAGCTCGATCCTGCTGCTGAGCAAGCTCCTCTACCACCTCGTGCACTGTCTGATCTACCGCCCGTTCCTGCCGATCGACCTGGTCGAGCTGCGCGGCACCGACCAGCACCAGTCCTGGCAGATCGAGGCCACCAACCTGTGCTTCTCCCACTCCAACGCCATCGCCGAGCTCGTCGAGCTGGCGCGCAATTCCCCCCTGATCGAATGGCCCGCCTTTGTCGGCTACTGCGTCTGCACCGCGGGCACGGTCCACGTGCACGGCGTGCACTACAAGGGCCGCGAGGGCGAGGTCTTCTCGTCCAGTGCCGAGTTCCTCACCCGCGAGATGCACCAGCTGACCTGGCTGGGCTCCTACTGGGCCGGCGTCCAGCATCAGCGCGAGATGCTGCAGACCGTCTACACCTGCCACGCCGACCTGGTCCGCACGCTGGCGACCAGTCCCATGCGCTTTTCGCCCGTCTTTCATCTGGAAGACTTCCTGGACCGGTATCCCGGTCTGACGGCCGACGGGTCGCACGTGCGCCTGGTCGATCTGGATGATATGTAAGTCCTTGCTCTGACTCTGAAGTATGACCCTGACTAACTAGACAGCCCCTCCTCATTCGACCCATACTACCGACCCATGACCGCATATCCCATGTACCAACCGCCCCGCGCCCCCGTCACCACCCTCCCATCCAACCACAGCCCGTCGCCGCGCCGCGACTCGCACAGCACAACCAGCACAGCGACCAAGCCGCCGCCCGGTGTCTCGTCCTCGCATCATCCCCAGCCCTCGCCGCACCTGCACCCCACGTTCGCGCTCGGCACCGCCGACTTGACCCATCCTTCTGCCTCTGATCCCGCCAACCACCACCACCACCACCACC